TCTGCACGTATCGGTGACAAACTGAGGAGGCAAACGGGCTCCAAGCTGGTAAGGCTGAAAGAAACGGCTTGAGAAACCGGAAGCTGGCCAGCTGAATGAAACAACAGCTGTTGGGGATCCAAGCTACATGAACGGAATTCATCCCAGCCTCGCTCATTACCAGCAAAGGATCAGACCGCGCCTGTCTGCTGCTTCTGCACCGAACGATTGAGAGAGCCAGGTTCGACTTGGCGGGAAGGCCCGCTCACCTACCCCTTCAACCAACCACCACCGCTGCAAGGCAAACGCGGAGCGAGGGTAACGCGTCCGAGTTCCAAGGGCAGGACGAACGCATACATGGCTCGGGAAACCCAACGACCAGGGTTCGGGAAACCCGACGATCGGAAATGACGCACATGGCTTCGAGCGATACGTCAAGCCTTCCAGAAACACGTTTGTGCGACGCAAACAGTCGTCGTCGCGCGTGTAGACCTGACGGTTTTGGCATATTACTGGTCAAATGGTTTTGACGGCCGATTCTCGCTACAACTACAACTATACAACCGATATAGTAGTTGTGATACCAATACGTCACCAACATACCGAGTGAAACATGGGTTGAGTTTATAAAGTTTTAAGGTTTGAAAAAGAATGTCATGAAACAGATACACAAAGGTACAACAGATGTTGAAACATCTGAACTTATTGTATTTAACCAATAAATGACCCAAATGACATGCACTACGCGACAAATAATAGCGTACCCCTTGATTGCCTGATGAAAAAGGGTGTAAAAGCGGTACACATTTACAAACTAAGAGGGGCAACGATTGCTGATATTTGGCACTATCAGAAACGTTTGGGAGCAGTCCTCATCCCTCACCATGTTTCGCAGCGCAAAATGATTTTGTTTCTTGTATGGATGGTAGTTTCCGTTTTGATTGATGTTTTCTACAGTTCTTGTACTGTCTGTAGATGACTGTCTGTGCCTAGCCGTCCGATCAACATCGATGATTTCGAGCGAGAACCGCCTAAGGTCCGCCATCCGCCTAGGTCTTGCTATGTTCAGAAGAGCGGAAGCGGAAAAACTCTGATTTTGAAGTCAGTGCGCAGAGTTACTGCGCCAGTTCCCGCACTGAGACTTGGCGCGCAGATTCATCTGGCGCGCGGGCCCGTCACTGCACTCCGCGCTCCGCTGATGTCAAATGTGGCCTTGAGCGAAATGTTTTGCACGCATTCCAGGGAAAAAAAGAATAGCCGACGTAAAGCGGTGCGAAGTGGGAGGTCAGCCATGTTACTGCCGTTTTTCACCCGTGTTTGGCGGAACCCAGCGCTTAGACTCCAAGCACTAAATCCGGAGACATCTCTTTCTGCCCATAGATAACAGTTTGACCCACTAGCCCTCCTTCCCCCCCCGCCACTTTCTGCCACCCGCGCGCCGCCTGGCGCAATCCTTCCCCAACCACTGACACCACTTTGGTTTGGCGCTGGTGGCGGAACGTCAGCAGCACTCCCCCACCCACCCAAGGAGAGTCAGCACTTCGGGTTGACCCTGGTCACCCTCGAGTCAGCAGCACCACCTCCATCCACATCCATCCAGGATCAGGCACCTCTCCTGACCGAGTGACTATCCCACATTCCCAAGGCCCTTCCACTATGCTTTCTCCCGCATTCTCATCATGCCAACTTCCTGCTCCAGGCCGCCTTGGATTCCATGATCTATGTACTTTCGCTATGGCTCCCGTCTACGTGGAGTAAATTCGTTCTTATCAGAACGACACTGATAGTGTTTTTTTCACGGTGGTTTAGTTCGACATGTCCTGGAATTTCGCTACGCTGTTATCCAGCCTGAACAGCTCGAAGGTTAGATTCACCCTGGAGGCTGATATCGCAGCAGCATCTCAATAGCGTCTGTGATCCCTACGGATCTTACGCCACTACTTCAGCCTTAATCGTCAACATCTTTCTGTGAACTGTTAGGGTTAGCAATGGACGGCTTATTTCAGTCAGAGATGTTGTCAAAATCAGCGACGGCAGCTACCTTCGTGGCATCATCAGCAGCTCGGGTGTCGCGCGGGGTGTTTCTGCTTCAACCGAGCGGCGACGGACAAGCGACGACGGGAAAGCGATGACGGACAAGTGAATCTCGTGAAGAAATGCTCCCTACGGCTTCATTCCTATGGCTTCATCATCGACACATCCTGATGCTCGTCTTCTTGGAGCCTCAGCTATGGTTTTCCGGCCGTATATTTCGTGGCATCATTGACAACTCATTTCACGGAGATTTCACGGATCTGTCTTTTGATGAAGCTGGCGAGCGACGAACTGTTAGCAGCGACGTTAACAGCGACGAGCTGCTAACGAAACGCGACTTTGCTGACGAGGAGGCGAAAGGCGATTACCGACGAACATCGAGCTCGGAGAAGCGACGAGCGGAATCAGAGAGCGTAAATGCGACGCAACCGTGTGCGGGACGGCGACTTGCTGCGTGCGACCGTGTGCGCGACGGCGACTTTCTGCGTGCGACCGTGTGCGCGACAGCGACTTGCTGCGTGCGACCGTGTGCGCGACGGCGACTTTCTGCGTGCGACCGTGTGCGCGACAGCGACTGCTGCGTGCGACCGTGTGCGCGACGGCGACTTTCTGCGTGCGAGCATGTGCGGGACGGCGACTTGCTGCGTGCGACCGTGTGCGGGACGGCGACTTGCTGCGCGCGACCGTGTGCGGGACGGCGACTTGCTGCGCGCGACCGTGTGCGGGACGGCGACTTGCTGCGCGCGACCGTGTGCGGGACGGCGACTTGCTGCGCGCGACCATGTGCGGGACGGCGACTTGCTGCGCGCGACCATGTGCGGGACGGCGACTTGCTGATGGCGAGGAGGCGCAGCTGATAAACGGACGGTGTCCATACGAAGCGCGTGAAGTTCCTATGGTACGTTGAGGCAACGTTTTATCACTTTACATATTGAAATCTTGAGTGATGTTTTTTCAGTTTCTTTTATTTTTTTAACATATAGTGAATGTTCAGGCACTGATGCTGTCCGGTTTGACTTGCGCAGGTCCAAGGCCTGCTGTTGCACTTGGCCGCTCCCTGCTGTGTGCTGCTGACGTTTCCTCCTTTTCTTGCGGGGTCTTCATTTGACTCTGGAGGGGACAACGCGAGGAGTCAGAGGTGCTTCCTTGGATCTGGAGGCGATGCTGCACCTGAGGATTGACTGCTGCTCCAGGAGAGGAACGCATGCTGCTACTTCCGAGGAAGCGGCGATTAATCCTGCCAAGGTGAGTTGAAGCGATTTTAAGCAATTTGCATCATGCATTATTCAGTAATTTTTTCTTTATTTCCTTTTATCCCTCTACGAATCTGAATGTTCAGGCACTGATGCTGTAATCTGACTTGTGCAGGCCTCCCAAGGTCTGCTGCTGCACTTGGCCGCTCTCCACTGCACCTTGTGGAAAGCAGCAATAGTTTCAACCGCGGTAGCGGCGAGGAGCAAACTCTGTTAAAGGATGGCGTTGGGGATGGCGAATTGCTGCGCGCGATGGTGTGCAAAACGGACGCTGCTGGCGAGGAGGCGCAGCTGATGAAAGGGCGGTGTCCTTACGAAGCTCGTGAATTCTTTTACAAGGCATTCCTCCATTGTAAGTTGAGGCAATGTTTCATCACTTTGCATGTTGAAATCTTGAGTGATGTTTCTTCATTTTGTACTGATTTGTTGGCATTCAGTGAATGTTCAGGTACTAATGCTATCCAGTTTGACCTGTGCAGGTCCAAGGCCTGCTGCTCCTACTGCACCTGAGCCTGAGCCGGAGGAAGCGACTGCTGCTGAACGACTGCTGCTGAACGACTGGGAGCTGGCGAGCGGCCAACTGCGGTAGCGGCGAGGAGGACACAGGCGGACGGAGCGATGGCTGAGGCGAGGAGGAACGGGCACCGCTGCCTCGACAACCGAAAAGCAACGAGCGGCCACTGAACCTCGCTAAGTTCCCTCCTCAACCCCTTGCACTCGCGCCTCCCCCCCACGCCCCTTTGTCGTTTCACCCCTCTGCATCTATCGTTTCTTTTCGTGCCAAACTCAACGTTGACTTGTAAGGCGCATGGTGGCGGTGGTTCAGGGTGCACTTTGGCAGGCGAGCTCATGTAGAGTCCAGAGCAGAGAGAGGGTCCAGTGGGTGTAGCATAGCTTAGCAGTGCATTCATGCCATGCGCGCGTCCCTCTCGTCCCTTGCTGCCTTAGCTCGCTGCTATCGTGCCCTTGGGCCACTGTCGCCATGCGCCTTCCCCCTCCCACCCCTCCCCAGCCGTTCACTTGTCGCTCTGCTGTGCTAAACTTTCACACTTGTCTGTTGTTCTTTGCTTGTGCTCTTTCTCTCCCTCTGCCGCTCTGAGGCTGATTCTGCTCTCTCTCTCCCAATCTTCCCGGTTGCTCCTCGTGCAGAGCCAGCAGACGGCAGCAGTGGGATGGCGGCAGTGGGATGACGCACGGCAGGCAGAACTGCTGCTGCCCTGCTGACCACTGCTCGCCACTCAGGGAGCGGACGGAGCGACAGCTGAGGCGAGGAGGACAGAGGCGGGCGCCGCTGCCTCGACCCCTGCCTGCCGAATATGGCTAAGAAATCTCGTTACTCTTGCTTTTTTCACGCACTTGTTCGCACTTGTTCGCTCACTGCTCGCTTCCGCCCTCATAGCCGCCTCCTCCTCCTCCTCGCGCCACTCGTTCCTCCTCCTCCAGCTCGCACCGGCGGCACCATTGGACCATTCCCCAGGTGTGTTCAGGTAACGGCGGCATCATGCGTAAGTAGGTGTGCTCAGGTACGGTACGGTCCTTTGGTGCCCGCCCTGCAGCTGCCACCCACCACCCCGCCTGCGCTGCCGCTGCCGCTGCCGCTGCCGCTGCCGCTGCCGCTGACACTGCTGCCGCTGGCACTGTCACTCACTCCACTGCACTGTCACTGCCACTCACACCACCTTCACCTGCCGCTTTCCAGTTTTAATTGTCTTGCATTTTTCGTTGCTTGCATGTATGCTTGTCAGTTTTCCATATCTCTTACTAATCATTTGCCCGCCCTCTCCTCCAGCCCACATCCTCGCTTGCACGCCTACAGGCCGGCACACGCCATACGTGGGGAGCAGCAGCGACGGGAGCAACGACGGGCGAGGCAGCGAGGGGGAGGCAGCGAGCGGGAGGCAGCGAGGGGGAGGCAGCGAGGGGGGGGCAGCGACGGCTCTGGTGGGATGGCTTTCGCCGCCGCGGCCAACGGTGGGTTATCTGAATCTCAATGCTTGCCGTATTCCGTTTTGTTTCGCTTGGATTTGCTCTTCTGGCTTCCATTGTGTTCATTGGCTTGCTAATCGCCCATTGGTCGCTTCATTTTTCCGTCTGTGCTCATAATCTGTTCTTTTCTTTCTTTCTTTCACTGCAACGATCAATTCGGAGCGCAGCGCGCTCTTACTCGAGGTGCCATCTCTCCTCGTCGAGGTGCCTTCTTTCCTCGTCGAGGTGCCTTCTCTCCTAGTCGTGGTGGGAGTGTCATACAACGCCGCGGCCAACGGTGGGTTACCTGAATCCTATTACTTGCCTTCATCCGTTTCTTTCGCGCTATCGTTTCCTGATTTGCTGTTCTGGCTTCCGTTGCTGATCGTCCGTCTTTCATATTTCCGTTTGTGCTAATGATTTTGTTTTGTTTTTTCGTTCTTTCTTTCACTACAGAGATCACTGGACCGCTGCTCCTGAACACTGCTGCTCAACGCCTGCCGCCGAACGACTCCTGCCCAACGGCTGCTGCCGAACGACTCCTGCCGATCGACTGCTTGCCATCGGCTGCTGCCGAACGACTGACGCCAGGAGGAATGGCGCCACTGCTGCCGCACCGGAGGAACTTGTGAGTCGCCTTCCCTTCGTTTCGTTCCCTACGTAAGCTGAATCTGTTTTTCAGCACCTTCAATATTGGAAGCTGAATCTGTTTTCTTTTAGCACCTTCAGTATTGGAAGCTGAATCTGTTTTTTGGCACCTTCAGTATTGGAGATTGACTCTGGTTTTTTTTAGCACCTCCAATACGTTGCCACCGTCCGTTGTTTTATTCTTTCCTTGGTTCCTTTGTTCCTCTCCCCCATCTCTTTCCACCCTTTTCAGAGCACACGGCAAGCAGCAAGACAGAGTAGGCCTGCCTGCCCTCCTCCCCACACCAGCAGCAGCAAGGCCAGGAGGCAACGCTGTTGGTGAGGATGCGACGCGATGACGCGAGGAGGTGAAGGTGCTGACTTGCGCAGCTGAGGAGGCGAGGAGGCGACAAGGAGGCAAGGGGCTGCTGGCGAGGAGGCGAGGCGTGGGCGAACCTGCCTCCTCCTCCCACCTGCGACCCAGCTTATGTGAATTCCCTACCCGCCCAGCTTATGTGTGAGGACGGGCTCCTCTGCCATTCACCTTGTAAGTTGCCCTCCACCACACGTTCCGCCCTGGTGCGTTGAAATCTTAGCTCCCTTTTTTTCCTGGTTTTTTTCAGATTTAAGTAGCAAGGGACTAATGCTCTGCTCTGTGACTTGTGCAGGTCTCCCGCACACTTGAGGCGAGGAGGCAGAGGTAGCTACGGGGCGGTGGGATGACGCACGGCCTGGGCGTGCCCTGCTGACCACCGCTGTCCCTGCATGCACCTCCCACCAGCAGCAGCAGCAGCAGCAGCAGCAGACATTGGACATTGAGGCTTGGATTGGACATTGAGGCTTGGATTGGACATTGAGGCTTGGATTGGACATTGGTTTGGACATTGGTTTGGACATTGGATTGGACATTGGCTAGCTAGGGGCAGTGCCCTGAGGCAAGCGGGCAGAGGCCCGAGTGTGTGAGGCACACGCGGCAACGGCAGGGGCGAGCTCGACTGGTGAGTGCATGCTTGCAGCACGGTGTGTGCACGGGCGTGGGTACGCGCTCGTGCGTTGCTGCAGCGCCTTCAACGCGCCACCTTCGGGACTAACGAGACTCCGCCTTGCTGCAGACTGCAGCACCTCCATTGCCCCACACTCACGGTACGTCGCTCGTCGTGTTCCCGTCTTTCCTTGTTGCTGCTGTCTCTTCTTTCTTCGCCTCCGTTCGCTCCCTTGCTTGTTCACGGGTCCTCGACTCACCACCGTGCTTGCTGTTCCATGCAGCGCACTCAACGCAAGCGCATGCAAAGGGAGGGGAGACGTGTGGGCGTGTGGCTGACGTGGACGGCGTGTGGCTGACGTGGACGGCGTGTGGCTGACGTGGACGCGAGCGTGTTGGGATGACGCACGGCCGGCAGTCACAGGCGTGTGGCTGCCTCCTACGCGCCCTGCTGACCACGCGCTCGGAGGCAAGGCGCAGAGGAGCAGGCGGGGAGGCGGCGAGGTGGAGTGGAGCGATGGGTGGGTGGAGGAGGATGGATGGATGGGTGCTGCAGTGCACCTGTGCGCACTGCTGGAGGGGCGGAGGCTGCTGCACCGCACCTGTGGGATGGCGGCAGGGGGATGACGCACGGCAGGCACCACTGCTGCCCTGCTGACCACTGCTCGCCTGTGGAGGAACGGCGAGGCGAGGAGGGAGAAGTGCCGCTGCTGGCGAGCGCGCGTGCATGCAGCTTCGACCCCTCCTGAATACGGCTAAGAGATCTCCCTTCTGTTGATATTTTCACGCTCTTGTTTGCACTCGTTCTTTCATTGCTCGCCTTCTCCTCCTGAGCTTGCCTCACTGCATCCTCCTGAGCTTGCCTCACTGCATCCTCCTGAGCTTGCCTCACTGCATCCTCCTGAGCTTGCCTCACTGCATCCTCCTGAGCTTGCCTCACTGCATCCTCCTGAGCTTGCCTCACTGCATCCTCCTGAGCTTGCCTCACTGCATCCTCCTGAGCTTGCCTCACTGCATCCTCCTGAGCTTGCCTCACTGCATCCTCCTGAGCTTGCCTCACTGCATCCTCCTGAGCTTGCCTCACTGCATCCTCCTGAGCTTGCCTCACTGCATCCTCCTGAGCTTGCCTCACTGCATCCTCCTGAGCTTGCCTCACTGCATCCTCCTGAGCTTGCCTCACTGCATCCTCCTGAGCTTGCCTCACTGCATCCTCCTGAGCTTGCCTCACTGCATCCTCCTGAGCTTGCCTCACTGCATCCTCCTGAGCTTGCCTCACTGCATCCTCCTGAGCTTGCCTCACTGCATCCTCCTGAGCTTGCCTCACTGCATCCTCCTGAGCTTGCCTCACTGCATCCTCCTGAGCTTGCCTCACTGCATCCTCCTGAGCTTGCCACTCGTGAGTGTGCCTGCTGCTTACTGCCTTCTGTGTGCTTGCGTGTTCGGTTGTAAGTGTGCCTGCTGCTTACTGCCTTCTGTGTGCTTGCGTGTTCGGTTGTAAGTGTGCCTGCTGCTTACTGCCTTGTGTGTGCTTGCGTGTTCGGTTGTAAGTGTGCCTGCTGCTTACTGCCTTGTGTGTGCTTGCGTGTTCGGTTGTAAGAGTGCCTGCTGCTTACTGCCGTTGACTTTTGAGTCAACTCGTGTTCGGTTGTAAGAGTGCCTGCTGCTTACTGCCGTTGACTTTTGAGTCAACTCGTGTTCGGTTGTAAGTGTCTGCTGACTGCCTTGTGTGTGCCACTCACACCACCTTCACCTGATGCATGCTTTCCAGTTATTTTTTCATCTAGCGTTTTCCGTTGCCTGCTTTCTTTGTCAGGTTTCGGTATCGCTGCATTCTTTGTCAGATTTCTGTATCGCTGCGTTCTTCACTCCTTCTTGTTCTCTCTCCTACGTGCGCACAGGCTGTGGGGGAGCGAGCGTGTTGGGATGACGCACGGCCGGCAGTCACAGGCGTGTGGCTGCCTCCTACCCGCCCTGCTGACCACGCGCTCGGAGGCAAACCGCTGAGGCAGCGCTGCGACGAGGCGTCTTCCTCCCACGTGTGCTGGCTTCTCCCCCTGCGTCCATGGGGTGAGGCGGAGGAACGAGATGGAGAGACTGATGGGCGGAATTGAGGCGATTACAAGGAGGGGTGCTGCTGAATGGAGAGTGAGAGTCATACAGAGCCGAGGGGGTGTGGATGGGCTTGATCATTTGAGAGTGGGGGGCCCCGACTCTCTCTTGGTCTTGTCCGGAAGCACGGGGCCCACCTTCGGTCTTTGAGGCTGCTCACATACCTCCAGCAGCACCTTGGCCCTTGGATCTGTCCTCTTCCATGCCTGTCTTACGTCCTCCTCACCCGCACTCCGTCCTCACTCCTCCCCCTTCCATTCCCTTCAGCACGTGGGGCGAGGGGGCAGCGCGGCGGGGCAGGTAGAGGACTTCTCTGCTTAATCCCCGCCTTCCTTCCCTTCAGGGCTTCACGTGGGGCGAGGAGGGCGATGGGGCAGCGCGTGCGCATCAAGAGGCGTCCCTGGTTAACCCCCCCCTTCCATTCCCTTCAGCATGGCGGGCAGCGTGGAGACGACACGGCGGGCGGCACGGACGGAGGTGAGGTGCTGCTCCATCGCTGCAGCGGGGTAAGCCTCTCTTCCCTTGTCCGTTTCCGCCTTGCATTCTTTCTATTTTTTGCATTTCATGTATTTGTCGTGCATGTTTCACTTGATCCTGTTTCTTGTTTGTCTCTCTACCCTCCTACCCCCCTCCCCTTCCCTTCAGGTCTACTCGTGGAGCGAGGAGGGCGACGGGGCAGCGCGCGCGCATCAAGAGGCGTCCCTCTGGTTAACCCCCCCCCTTCCATTCCCTTCAGCATGGCGGGCAGCATGGAGACGACACGGCGGGCGGCACGGACGGAGGTGAGGTGCTGCTCCATCGCTGCAGCGGGGTAAGCCTCTCTTCCCTTGTCCGTTTCCGCCTTGCTTTCATTCTGTTTTTTTGCATTTCATGTATTTGTCGTGCATGTTTCACTTGATCCTTTTTCTGTTTGTCTCTCTGCTCTCCCACCCCTCTCCCCTTCCCTTTAGGTCTACTCGTGGGGCGAGGAGGGCGACGGGGCAGCGCGCGCGCATCAAGAGGCGTCCCTCTGGTTAACCCCCCCCTTCCATTCCCTTCAGCATGGCGGGCAGCGTGGAGACGACACGGCGGGCGGCACGGATGGAGGTGAGGTGCTGCTCCATCGCTGCAGCGGGGTAAGCCTCTCTTCCCTTGTCCGTTTCCGCCTTGCTTTCTTTCTATTTTTTGCATTTCATGTATTTGTCGTGCATGTTTCACTTGATCCTGTTTCCTGTTTGTCTCTCTACCCTCCCACCCCCCTCCCCTTCCCTTGAGGTCTACTCGTGGGGCGAGGAGGGCGACGGGGCAGCGCGCGCGCATCAAGAGGCGTCCCTCTGGTTAACCCCCCCCTTCCATTCCCTTCAGCATGGTGGGCAGCGTGGAGACGACACGGCGGGCGGCACGGACGGAGGTGAGGTGCTGCTCCATCGCTGCAGCGGGGTAAGCCTCTTTTCCCTTGTCCGTTTCCGCTTTGCTTTCCTTCTGTTTTTTTGCATTTCATGTATTTGTCGTGCATGTTTCACTTGATCCTTTTTCTGTTTGTCTCTCTTCCCTCCCCCCCCCCCCCTTCCATTCCCTTTAGGTCTACTCGTGGGGCGAGGAGGGCGATGGGGCAGCGCGTGCGCATCAAGAGGCGTCCCTCTGGTTAACCCCCCCCCTTCCATTCCCTTCAGCATGGCGGGCAGCGTGGTGACGACACGGCGGGCGGCACAGCGGACGGCACACGGACGGAGGTACCCTTCTTCCCTTGTCCGTTTTGTCTTGCTTTCGTTCTCAAATTCGTCTTGCTTTCTTTCTGTTTTTTGCATTACATGTATTCTCGTGCCTGTTTCACTTGATCGTGTGTTGTGTTTGTCTTGTGGTGTGTGTCACTCTGCAGCTGGCAGGACCCGAAGACCGCCCCCGACTGCGGCATAGGTGTTGTGCGGCAGGGGTGGCTGACGGCGTTGGGTCGGACGCGGCCCGCGCCTGAAGCGCCCCTGTGTGTGAGTGAGTGCTCTGACGAGGGATGGGGGGACGCTCCCTGAACTCTGACGGCCTCCTCGCCCCGCCTTCGCCGGGCCAGGTGTTACGCCACCTGGTCTGAGCTGGGCTGTAGGACGCTGCAGCCCGGCTCGTGTCGTTTAGGGGCTGCGGTCCCACACGAAGGGTCCCCACCTCAGCGCGGTGTGTGGGTGTAACACTAGGGGTTAACCCCCCTAGTGGCCAAGAGGGGCCCAGAAGACCCAAGACCGAAGACCGGGGCGCACTCTATTATTGTCTGAATGATCTTAGATTGTCATTTTAGATTATAATTGCCTAGATACGGTAGTCATGGTAGCTCTGGTTAGGTCAGCATGGACGACTGAAACTACCGTAGGTAACACACACCAGGGAAGCACATGCTGCAGTGTTGCAGATAAACAGGAAATGAAGACCCCTAACATCACAGATTAGGGTGACCTTTCACATTCAGTTCATGTTTTCATGCAAAACAATCAGGAACATGCAACAGAGGCTAATCCCTTCTGACATGGCAACATGTCCTCCTGGCAATGCTGAGTGCTGACCACCCAACAGAGACTCATGGAAGTCAACACGGTAACAGCATGCCGAAGTGAAGTCGTTCACACACCTACTTCCTCACTCCTCTACTCCATACCCTGTACTGCACACCTCCTATCTGCTACAGGCGAGTGCACGCCTCCCCTTCCCTAGAGCCGAGTTCAGGCGAAATCAATGAGCAAGTCCTCTTGTCAGGAGCAAGCCGCGTGAGCCAGTTGCTGCGTGCTTTGTGAATTTGAGACGCCTTCTAAGTCCGCTACAGCCGAGTGCAGGCAAAGTCAAAGTCATCGGGAGCCAAACGAGTGAGCCAGTTGCTGAGCGTGCTCTTGGCGTTGAGCGTATCAGACGCCGCCAGCTCGTACATGGAGCACGGGTTGAGCACCACTGTCTCGTCGACAGCTGTCAGCGGGCTCGCTTGCAATTGGTCCTCCAGGACCCGCACCGCCGTCGCGAGATCTCGGCCGTACATCAGGCAGAGGGCCTGCTTGGCAGGGTTGTTGGGATGAAGGGGTGTGAAGAGGGACGAATAGGGATGATGTGGGATGAAGAGGGTAGGTGGAACCATGTACATGACAACAAAAGGAGGATACCCTTCAATGTAACATGGTTATCACAGCACCTGTAAACTGTAAAGTGCCTTCTGCATCAGCTGAATCACCTGATTACCCCACCATGTAACCTGGCTACCACATCGCCTCACCTTGTTATTCGCAGCAACGGAGGGGGTGGGATACTCTTTAGTCACAGCAGAGAAGAGCAAAGTGCCTTCCAAGTCAAGCACATCAGCTGGCTACTCTACATGTCACCTGGTTACCACATTGCATCACACCCTCTCACCTTGTTATTCGCAGCAATGGAGTTGGTGAGATCCTCTTTAGTCACCGCAGTAACCAGCTGCAGCGCCTGCCCATGCTCCCACACCCGCACCGCCGTTGCGAGATCTCGGCCGTACATCAGGCAGAGGGCCTTATAGGGAACAAAAAAGGCAAGGGGATGAAATGGTAGGTGGAACCATGTGAAGGGTAACTGCATGACGATACTACACCAATGTAACTTGGTTACAACACCAAGTGTGAACTGTGAGACGCCTTCTGCGCTGCCTGGCTCACTTGGCCTCACCTTGTTGTTGGCAGGTATGGAGTTGGTAGGGTCCTCGTTGGTGCCAGCAAAGGAGAGCAGCTGCAACGCCTGCCCGTGCTCCGTGCCTTGTGCATTGGCTGACTAACTCACCAGGCTATCCCACCAAGTAACCTGGTTACCACACGACTCACCTTGCTATTCGGAGCAATGGAGTTTGTATAATCTTCCTTGGTAACAGCACCCAGCACAGCACAACACACAGCACATACCACATAGCACAAAACACACAGCACATACCACATAGCACAAAACACACAGCACGAAACACAGCACAAAACACACAGCACATGGTGTAGCGCGGTGAAGCGTGATAAACGAATGTAACTGTGAGACGCCTTCTGCGCTGCCTGACTCACCTGGCTATTCCACCATGTAACGTAACCTGCTTGGCAGGGTTGTGGGGATGAAGGGGAGGAAGGAGAGACGAAGGGGTTGAAGGTTGGTACAGGGGGATGAAAAAGGGGAATAATGTGAAGTGCCTTCTCACGTGGCTACCCCACAAACGAAAGCGGCTCATCAGTTCCGAATGCATGCGCGGTCTGAAGTGGCCATGTGCGGTGCAAGGCGCAAGCGACAGGAGCGACTGCGGTTACATGCGGTGACACATGCGTTGGCCTGCCTCAGAGGGGAGGTGACGTGGCAGGGCGTCAGAGGGGAGGTGACGTGGCAGGGCGTCAGAGGGGAGGTGACGTGGCAGGGCGTCAGAGGGGTGGTGAGGTGGCAGGGCGTCAGAGGGGAGGTGACGTGGCAGGGCGTCAGAGGGGAGGTGACGTGGCTGAGCGACGGCGTGCACGGCGGAGGACGGCCCAGAGGGGAGGTGACGTGGTGGGGGAGCGCGCCGCACGGGCGTCAACTGTCTGAACGTGAGCAGGGCGTCAGGGGGGGGGGGGGGGAGGGAATAATCCGAGTCCGTCGCACTGCGCCCATGCGCGTCGCACTGCGCCCATGCGCGTCGCACTGCGCCCATGCGCGTCGCACTGCGCCCATGCGCGTCGCACTGCGCCCATGCGCGTCGCGCTGCGTCCATGCGTGTCGCACTGCGCCCATGCGCGTCGCACTGCGTCCATGCGCGTCGCACTGCGCCTCGAACTCTTCTTCTATCGCGGTGATGACGCGAAGAGGTAACCGGCGGTGAGATACAGAGTGGCGAAATAAAAAACGCCACGATTCGAAGGAGCGGCCATTATGCGGTGAAGCCTTTCATGTGATGCAGTGATTACGGCAAGGAGAAATGGTGAAACTATCCCAACAGCAAGGTAAAACGAGAAGACGGGGGGGTGATGTGATGAGGTGAAGATCAGTAAGTAGGTAACGCAATGTGGTAGTACTGTATGCTGTGCTGTGTGCTGACTATAACGGGTTGTCTCGATTCTCTGTTTGTTAGGCAAAGCATTCAGCGAACTTAGCCGCAGTCGCCAGAATTCGTTGCTGAATGTCGCTGTGCCATGGGTGTTGCGATTTTTGCACATCGCCAAAGCACAAGTGTTACCATCGCGGAGGGAGAACCACTCCCCAGCTCACGGTCATGCGAAAGTTGATGCCACAGATTTCTCCAATCCTTTTCTCCTTTCTCAATCCCTTCATCTTCCATCCATTCTCCTTTCCCAATCCAACCCCCGACCAGTTTTCGCCTTCTGCTCTCTCCGCATCTAGCGCCTCTCGCCGCACTTCGCAGGCGTGACATTCCTAACGCCTTGCCGTGTCGCCCTCCACACCTCGCCGTCGCCTGTGTTCGCGTAGTTTCGCAAGTTCGTGTCTTACTTTCCGTCAGCAATTCGGTTCCGTCAACATTCGCCAGCAATGGCTGCAGCGGTGGCAGATCTGACGGTGACGGCGGAGAATGTGGGCGCGTCGGGCGAGTCGAAGGTGCTGCAGGCCATTCGGTATTCCCGAGGGAAGCTCGAGCTGCTGGACCAGGCGAGTCGTGCTTCCAGCTCTCATAAGTCCTCGGAACTTTTCAGCGGAGCTTTTAGTTAAAATTCTCTGTAAATTAAACCTTGATATTGTGAGAATTCTGCGCACAAACCTGTCGCACCCTTCTTGTAAAGGGTGCGTCTTACGTAAAGGATAAGAATAATTACGGCTCCGATGTTATAATTACGCCCCGCCCCGCGTGTTGCCTCCATTCCAGCGGAAGCTTCCTCACGAGTCTATCTACCTCGACATCCCAACCACCGAAGCTGCCTGGTGGGTTCGCGATTCTGACCATCATGCCATCCTACACTGTGTATAGAACCCCACTCATCACGACATGCCGGAAATGCGACCAAGTACGTGGGATCGTCTATGCCTCCTCCTGTGAATCACACCGCTTTCACCCCATTCCACCCCACCCCAACTCACTCCATCTCCCTAATCTCCTGAACACCCGTGCACCGCACTCCACCGCGCGGCACCCATCACAACCCTCAGGCACGCCATCAAGGACATGGTGGTGCGGGGAGCGCCGGCGATCGCCATCGCAGCGGCGTTGGCGCTGGCAGTGGAGGTGCACCAGCACAGCGTGTTCGAGAGTGCTGATGCCGCTGTCAAGCACATCACTGATCGCCTCGATTATCTCGTCTCGAGGTGCGTGTCACAATAGGCGCTGGCGCTGGCAGTGGAGGTGCACCAGCACAGCGTGTTTGAGAGTGCTGACGCTGCCGTGAAGCACATTACCGATCGCCTGGACTACCTCGTGTCCAGGTGAGTGTGTCTCCAGGTGCGTTTGTGTTTGACCGTTGGCGTCTAGAAAAGGCGCTGGCGCTGGCAGTGAATCCGCGGATGCTGCTGCCGCGGATGCTGCTTGACTACCTCGTGTCCAGGTGCGCGTTAGGTTCACTCAGTTGTCCTCTAGGTTCACCACCAGTCAGTGTTAAGGATTGAGACGGTTAAGGCTCACACAAGCCCCCCAGCACAGCGTCTTCGAGAGTGCGCTCCAGTCAGTGAGCTCCAGTCAGTGAGCTCCAGTCAGTGAGCTCCAGTCAGTGAGCTCCAGTCACTCCTTGAAGCACTCCTTGTTGAACGCATTGACTACCTCGTGTCCAGGTGCGTGTGTGTTTCTGACTGTTGGCTTTGTGTCGACTCAAAACTGGCGCTGCCGCTTGCGCTGGCAGTGGAGGCGCACTCGAGCACAGCTGGTTTGAGAGTGCTGATGCCGCTGTGAAGCACATCACCGATCGCCTGGAGTACCTCATCTCCAGGTGGGTGTGTGTCCGTGTGTGTGTGTCTGCAGGTGCGTGTGTGTTTCTGACTGTAGGCGTCTGGCAGTGGAGGTGCACCAGCACAGCGTGTTTGAGAGTGTTGATGCCGCCGTGAAGCACATCACCGATCGCCTTGACTACCTCATCTCCAGGTGGGTGCGTGTCTGACCGTGGCCGCCTCAAAAGTCGCTGGCGCTGGCGCTGGCAGTGGAGTGGAGGTGCACAGCGTGTTCGATTCCGTGAAGCACATCACCGATAGCCTCGACTACCAGCACAGCGTGTCCAGGTGAGTTATTCTACTCTCAATGATGGCGGACACAACCTTCCGAGCACTTCCGCACCTGCTCTCACCAACCACAGTCACACCAGCCAACCACCGGCCGGGCTGCTCTCAGACAATGCTCGGCAATGAACCTATCAGACGCGGCAGAGGAGATCAAACAGGACCATATGCGCTCACGTGTTCCCCTTGGTCTCTCTCTCTCACACACTCCTCTCTCTCCCCCCTTGTCCCCACCCAGTCGCTCCACAGCTGTGAACCTGTCGGACGCAGCAGAGAAGCTCAAGAGGGTGGCGGAGGAGGCAGCCAAGGAGGAACCCACGCCCGAGGCGGTAGTGCTGGTGAGCTCAGGTAGTGCTGGTGAGCCCAGGTAGTGCTGGTGAGCTCAGGTAGTGCTGGTGGTAATGGTAACGGTGCAGTGGTGGTAATGGTAACGGTGTAATGGTAACAGTTTAATGGTAACGCCATAATGGTAACGCCGTAATGGTAACGCCGTAATGGTAACGGTCTAATGGTAACGGTCTAATGGTAACGGTCTAATGGTAACGGTGCAATGGTAACGGCGCAATGGTAACGGCGCAATGGTAACGGCGTAATGGTAACGGCGCAATGGTAACGGAGTAATGGTAACGGCGTAATGGTAACGCCGTAATGGTAACGCCGCAATGGTAACGCCGTAATGGTAACGCCGTAATGGTGACGCCGTAATGGTAACGGCGTAATGGTAACGCCGTAATGGTAACGGCGTAATGGTAACGGCGTTATGGTAACGCCGTAATGGTAACGCCGTAATGGTAACGCCGTAATGGTAACGCCGTAATGGTAACGCCGTAATGGTAACGCCGTAATGGTAACGCCGTAATGGTAACGCCGTAATGGTAACGCCGTAATGGTAACGGCGTAATGGTAACGGAGTAATGGTAACGGCGTAATGGTAACGGCGTAATGGTATCGGCGTAATGGTAACGGCGTAATGGTAACGGAGTAATGGTAACGGAGTAATGGTAACGGTGTAATGGTAACGGTGTAATGGTAACGGCGTAATGGTAACGGCGTAATGGTAACGGCGTAATGGTAACGGTGTAATGGTAACGGTGTAATGGTAACGGTGTAATGTTAACGGTGTAATGTTAACGGTGTAATGTTAACGGTGTAATGTTAACGGTGTAATGGTAACGGTGTAATGGTAACGGTGTAATGTTAACTGTGTAATGTTAACGGTGTAATGTTAACGGTGTAATGTTAACGGTGCAGGTGGTAGAGACAATGCTGAGTGATGATGTGGCTATCCGCTTTGTTTACACTCTCCCCCCCTCCTTCGACTTCCTCCCATGCGCCTCCCCTTTCCTCCCCTCCCCCCCAGGCAACGGTGCTGGCAGCGGAGGCGATGCTGAGCGGACGGGCGGCTGAAGGAGGGAAGGGGGGAAGGGCGGCTGTTCTCACTTCTTCCCACTCCAACATCTCCATGCCATCTGTTAACCATCATTCCCCCCACCGCCTCCAGGCAACGGTGCTGGCAGCGGAGGCGATGCTGAGCGATGACGTGGCGGGCAACAAGCGCATCGGCGCGTTTGGCGCTCAGGCCGTGGTGGAGGCGCTCAGACAGAAGGGCGTTGAGGGGAAGAACCTGCGCGTGCTCACCCACTGCAACACTGGCAGGTGAGTGTAGTCACCCATTGCAGTACACACCCCTTGGTAGTGACTCCACTACTTGGCATACTCTACCTGTTCCCGTCCCAATCCCTCCCCAATCCCTCCCCAATCCCTCCCCATCCCTCCTGCTCCCGATTCGTCCTCACTCCCACACTCACAGCCTTGCCACCGCTGCCTACGGCACAGCCCTGGGCGTCATCCGCTCGCTGCAAGCGCAGGGTCTGCTGGAGACGGCCGTGTGCACGGAGACACGTCCCTACAACCAGGGCTCACGGCTGACGGCGTTTGAGCTGACTCACGACGGCATCCCCGCACTGCTCATTGCTGACTCAGCCGCTGCCTCGCTCAAGGCTGCTGGGCGCATTGATGCTGTCGTTGTGGGCGCTGATCGCATTGCTGCCAACGGTGGGTTCACTGCTGCTGCTGCCTGCTGTTGCTTCCTGCTGTTGGCACATACTCGCTGGCGCTATTGGTGTTAGAAAAGGTACCAGTCAGGAGCACCATATAGGTGCCCTGCGCAATGATTTTGTCGAAGCACTTGTTTTCCTGTGCGCTGCCACCAGGTGACACGGCGAACAAGATCGGCACGTACTCACTGGCGCTCTCAGCCTTCCACCACAAGACGCCCTTCTTCGTGGCGGCACCGCTGACGTCCATCGATGCGGCGATCAAGACAGGCGAGGAGATCGTGGTGGAGGAGCGGCACGCCGCTGAGCTCACCCACTCGCTGGGAGGCGCTGGGCCCCAGGTGTGTGTGTTAAGGGCTGGTGGTTATGCTCAGTGGTCGGTCGGGAATGAGGGCCTCAGGTGCGATAGGAGAGGCGCTGACGTCCATCGATGCAGCGATTAAGACAGGCGAGGAGATCGTGGTGGAGGAGCGGCACGCCGCTGAGCTCACGCACTCGCTGGGAGGGGCCGGGCCTCAGGTGCGCTAGGGGTTGGTGGTTATGCATTGCTTGATGGGTGAAAGGGCTTAAGACGTGACGCTGACGTCCATCAATGCAGCGATCAAGACAGGCGAGGAGATCGTGGTGGAGGAGAGGCACGCCGCTGAGCTCACGCACTCGCTGGGAGGGGCAGGCCCACAGGTGGGCCAGGGGGGATTGTGGGGCATCAGGTGCGTTAGAGGGTGAGTGACAGCCATTCTTATGCGTCACTGTGGGACGTCAGGTGAGGCGGCAGGTGTGCTGGCTTGTGGCTTTCGTTGAGTCTACTCACTGTGGCGTGGTGTGCACTTTCCCTGTGTTCCTACACTGCCCATCCTGTTCTACCTGGCAGGTGGCACCTCATGGCATTGATGTGTGGAACCCGGCGTTTGACATCACACCAGCGCAGTTCATCACAGGGCTCATCACGGACAAGGTGGGGGATCGGAATGATATTCTCATCTCACCGCATCACGAATATCATCCTATTTGGTGACGTCCCTTCTTCTCTTGAAATGATTGGTGTATGAGAAAACAATGGTATTGTGCATTTTCTTTTCAATCAAGGCATGATAGAACAGTTGTTTCAGAAGGATGACATCTGCGGCTTTCTCCACTCCCTTTGCACCTTCTCGTCCTATGTCCCCATCCCACGCGCCCTTCTGCCCAATCATCCCTGCAGGGCGTCATCTGGAAGAAGGAGGGCGCATCAGTCTTTGACATCCGCGGATTCCTCCACTCCCTCGGCGCACCCGTCCCCTCCTCCCCCATCTACCCGCCTCCTCCCTCAAACAACCCGCACCCCAAGGAGGACGATGCGCAACCGCACACGGACCCCCACAAGGACCGCATCCGCAAAGACGCTCTGGAGGCCTCTCACATGCCCCTCCACTCCACCTTCTCACGTGCCCTGTGCCCTCTGTCTCACCTTCTCACCTACCCCCTGCAGGGCGTCATCTGGAAGAAAGAAGGCGCATCAGTCTTTGACATCCGCGGCTTCCTCCACTCCCTCGGCGCCCCCGTGCCCTCCTCGCCCATCTACCCAGCGCCCGCCAACAACCCGCACCCCAAGGAAGATGATGCCCAGCCGCACACGGACCCGCACAAGGACCGAATTCGCAAGGACGCTCTGGAAGCCTCCCGCTTCACGCCTGTTTCTGAGCACACTGTGCCTGCCTTCCTCCAGGACCACCCGGACCTCGCCGCCAGGCTCGGCGGCGGCCCGGACCAGTGGTCCGTGCGGGAGGTGGGCGACGGGAACATCAACTTTGTGTATATTGTCGAAGGGCCGGGAGGGGCCTTAGTGGTGAAGCAGGCTCTCCCGTACGTGCGAGTGGTGGGGGAGTCCTGGCCCATGACCCTGGATAGGATTTACTACGAGGCATTGGCGCTGCGGCAGCAGTTTGCGTGGGTGCCTGAGCTGGTGCCCGAGGTGTACTTTTTCAGTCACCCGATGGCGCTGCTGGTGATGCGGTATGTGGCGCCGCCGGCGATCGTGCTGCGGAAGGGGCTGGTGCAGGGGCGCGTGTACCCGCTGCTGGCGGCGCACATGTCGTCGTTCCTCGCCAGCACTCTCTTCCTCTCCTCGCTCATTGCCATCAACACTGAGGTGTACCGCGATAAAGGTGGGCTCCATGATGGCAACGAGTACATGCAAGATGGCTTGTGGCTCTTTGCTTGATGTCTCTAACGCTCTGCCTTCTCATTCCTCCGCCTCCTGCTGTCCCCTCCAGTGCGCGAGTTCTGTGGCAACGTGGAGATGTGTCGGCTGACAGAGCAGGTGATCTTCACGGAGCCCTACGTGCTCGCCACCAACAACCGCTGGACCACTCCCCAACTGGATGACGACGCTGCTGCCCTCAGAGACGACGTGCCTCTCAAGCTCGCCATCACAGAGCTCAAGAGCAAGTGAGTGAGGTTCCTTGTGTGACCGCTGCTCTCGTCCTTGAGTGGCTCACACTGAAGGTTCATGCAGTGCACCCTTCATGTGGTTCACCCTTCTGCATTCATCGTTCAACGTTCACTCATGGTTTACTCTCTCACTCAACTCAGCATTCTCCTACTGCGCTTTTCAATGTACCGCTCCCCCTTTCCTCCACCTTGCCCCTCTCCCATGCAGGTTCTGTGAGCGCGCACAGGCGCTGCTGCATGCGGATCTGCACACCGGCTCAGTCATGGTCACCGAGGAATCAACGGTCGTGATCGACCCTGAGTTTGCGTTCTACGGTCCGATGGGCTTTGACATCGGGGCCTTCCTGGGCAACCTGCTGCTGGCCTACTTCAGTCAAGACGGCCACGCCACCGCTGATGACTCCCGTGCTGTGAGTGTGCTCCGTGGGCCCTCTTTACTCTGTGCGGAATGGATTACCTTTACCATCATTTACCAACCGTCACACTATCCTTCACACCATTCATCACCTTTCTTCAACATGTTTGCCCTGACCCTTCCACATCCCCTCCCCATCCCTTTCCCAGGCTGCCAAGCGATGGATCCTGCAGTGCTTCGCTGGGACATGGAACGGCAAAGCTGTTTCTTCTCACCACCCATTCCCGATCCTCGCCATTGTCTTTCCATCCTGTCCCAATCCGTTTCCCAGGAGGCCAAGAAGTGGCTCCTGCAGTGCGTCACGGAGACATGGGAGAAGTTTGAGGCCAAGTTCCTGGCGCTGTGGAACGACAAGTCCCTCGCCAAGGGAGACGCGTACCCGCAGGCGCTGTACCACGACAATGCCGCGCTGCTCTCCGCCGCCCAGACCGCCTTCCTGCGCGAGGTCTTCCTGGACTCGCTGGGATTCGCCGGGGCCAAGATGATCAGGTGAGCGCCGCTGCAGGGTTGGGTGGTAGCGGCCTGAGTGCTTCTTTCTGACGAATGATCTGGGAGGATTCCGTGTCGGGTTTTGTTGCCCACCAGGATCTGGAAGGACAAGTGGAAGTCCTGACTGCCAAGTGTCTCGTGTGTGTGTCTACTCTTGCAGGCGCATTGTTGGCATCGCACACGTGGAGGATCTGGAGTCCATTGCTGACCCTGATGTGAGGGCAGCTTGCGAGCGCAGGGCTCTCAACTTCGGCAAGCACCTCGTCAAGGAAAGGCAGCAGTATAAGAGCATTGCGGAGGTGGCTGCAGCAGTGGAGGCAATAGTATAGGCTACATCAGTCACAAAATGCTAGCTTCTGTTTGAAATCTTAAAAAACGCTGGCAAAGCCAGCTGCAACCTGCACATCGATTCTAGCATAGTGAGTGGTCCAGTTATGCCATTTGATAATGAGCTCAATACCAGTGATTCCTTTCCAAGAACATGGCATGGGCTTTTTCTGTGTAACGCGGACGTCGGAACGCATCCCTTGCAGCAACGGAATCCAACGGCCATGGTAAAGAGAAATTTCAATTCACCGACTAGCTGGGGATAGAGCTGCTGGTTGAGGAGGAATTTCAATTCACCGAGCGGCTCGTGCTGCGACACGACGAGGACCTGCAGCGAACGAAATGGTTCCATCAATTTTCTGGTTTTCGGGAATTCCCTCCCACATGCCCACATGCCAATGTCGCACATGCTTTTCCCTCCCACATGCCAATGTCGCACATGCTTTTCCCTCCCACATGCCCACATCACGATGTCTGTCGCACATGATTTTCCCTCGCAGATACTCACATGAGAATGTCGCCATCACAGAGTCGCGCAAACTTCCCTGCACAAGGCTGCAGTGCTTGCAGGTCGTTGGCGAAATCGTGATGCTTCGCATAGTTCTGCTAGCCGCCCCTCACATTCTGGACCTTGGAGATATAAAATGGCTCTAGTTGGCTGACTCTAGAGAATCTGGAAGCGTGAATCGGCTTGGTTAGGAAAATTATAGCGGCGCTTCTCCAAGTGTGCTATCTCCACTTCAGCGTAGCCTGTAGCAAGAGAACCAGCGTCACTCTCTATTTTGACGTGTTACAACCTCAAGGTTCTTGAATGTCTCTTGAAAGTCAGTGTTAGCTCCGTCCCACCTTCCATACCAGCGATGCATTCACCTCGTTGCTATCGTTAGCGCGGATTAAATACGGTGAATTGAGCAAGAATTTCACGCTCGTACTCATGTGAACTAAAAATATTGTAGTCTCCGAACTCCTTCTTTGTCCGTCCACATCCGCAACTCCCGCTGGTCGGCCGCCGGAGGTCGCACGAAGTACAGAGACCGCAGAAGACCGTGGGACGAACTATTAGCATAGATGAAGCTCCACGCATCGCTTACCCTGATGCTTCTTCTCTCGTTGAGCTCAGGTGCTACTCTCAACGCTTCGTCAGGACCTCGTCAATCTGTTCACAAAAAAATCCCTTATTCATGTTACGGTTCGCGTTTTCGTTATCATAAACGTGCGGACGCTCGAAATACATTAAAATATTCAACCTTTCAGCGCACACGTGCTTGAATATCCATCGTTCGCTATGCTATCGTACGTACAGGGCCATGGTTAGCCGTCGCTGGCGAGAAAGCATCAGGCGGCCTATCTGACGGATCCACGTGCTACTACGACAAGAACTACACCCCCATCAAGCCTTACTGCAAGCGAGATTTCGGGTACGCTGAAAATCCCGTCAATTTTGAAGCCTGAGATGCCAGCAGTCCTATACTACCGTCGTTCTGCGTTTTGCCCTGAAATCTGTGCTTATTCCGTGTGTGTGACTGCAAATTTGTTTTCAGGTGTGTGGTGACCAAGGTCATTCGCAACTCACCACATTTCAAGTTCAAGGGCGAATGCGCCTCTGACGTTCCTCGTAAGATTTCGAGTATCTCCTTTTCCGCGTGCCACTGCACTGACTGCGAACAGCATGCAGGAACACTGCTCATGGACACAACAACAACAACAACAACCAGTCAGTGCAGTGTTCCTGAAAGAAGCAACCGAATGAAAAAACGACATACAAACACTTCTAGAAATTTCCAGTGTTAAAAAACTCCCAACAAACCCTGACTCTCCCCAACCAGTGGACCAGATAACCAAGCGGTTCTGCATGTTTCGCTCAGTGATGTTCGCGCCGGGGACGAGCGGCATCACGGCGACGTCCATGTGTCCGCACTGCACGTGCCGGCAGCTCAAGGGCGGCCCCACGTGCCTGTGTCCGCTGGGCAAGCTGTGCAAGCAGGACGCGGTGGGGCGATGGAAGGACGGCACGCGATGCAGAGACAGCAGACAGAACCAGTTGAGTCGCGTGGGGGATGGTAGTGGGGGATGGTAGTGGGAATTGAGGTTTGGCTGACGTGGGAATCGGAAGAAACTTAGAAAAGGTGTGGCCAGGGAGGATTTTGGGAACTTCATGGACCTGAATCTTCTGCACACAGATGAATTACCTGGAGTAATTTCTGAAGCACATTGTTTGTATCTGCCCTCCCATGTCTGCTTTGCACCGCCAGGTGTGAAGTGTCACGGGTGGTCAACGGCTCATACGTTGGCAACTGCATCAACCCTGCTCGTCAGTTCCTCCCCTCCATCTTTGTTCCCTGCCTCTTAACCGCTTTCGTGCTTACTGTTCCTATTGTGCATCTGTTGCTACTGAAACACTCACTGATATCCTTCAAATGTGTGTGCTTTCCCACCCTAAAGCATTTTCGTTCCATCATTGCGTTCCTCCACCCCATTATCCCTTCCTTGGATGCTTACAATATATCAATCTCAGAGGGTCCGAACGAGTGCATCAGTGCAGGTCCAGGGTGGGGTCCCATCTTTGTGAGGAACAGGGCTCATAACATAACCAAGACTGGTGACCTGTGCCAACGCTGTTCCTGCAAGAAAGGACAGTTTGTCAACTGCAAGCCTGTTCCCGGATGTGCCCGTAAGTTGCACTTCAGTCCCGTGGGGAGTTAGTGACTGGGAATGTGTTGTGGCGTTCACGGTTCACTTCGTTAGTATACTCAAGTCATTGTTTCTTTTCTCTTCTGTTTGTGTTGTCCCGCTGGTGCTCTTTTGCAGTGTGTGTTCCAAAGAGCCCAACCAACGTTGCGCAGCAATGCAGCCAGTGCTGCAAGAAGGCCACCACACCTGAGGGTATTGAGTTATGCGAAACAGCGTGTAACAGGGTGTACCGACAGGCTTCAGGCAATCCATCATCTTTAGATAGATGAGGCGCCTATGCCTCTCCATGCCATCACTGGCTCTCCTTGAGCCTTTAGCAAACGCACACCAGCATGTAGTCATCTTCCCCTGCAGCAAAAGTAAGCAATGCTGCTTACCAAGAAGTATAGGCAAGGTGATTCATAACTGAAGAATCTTTGTGGTAAACTGGTCACTGTACTAAAGTGCACAGAACCAGACCAGGGGACACCCTCAATGCCGACAGGAAACATCTCGCTCTGTGCCATGACCAGCACCGTTATCGGCGTGTGCATAGTTATCGGCTGGAGGTCGGGGCTTCAGAACCCTATTTTGCCACCAAATGTTGCAAATTCAACACATCACAACACCCTTGTGGTACCTCATTGATGTGTAAGCAGTGAAGTAGGCCCTAATGCGTGTATGAAACGGACTTATAACGAATTCTGAGAACATTTTCCCCACTGACAAGCTGATGCAGCGGCGCGTTCGCAAATCCCTCGCCTTGTTGAACCAACGGAAGGAAAAATTTCCGCTGTGCCGCCCCTCCACCATGACATCATCCGCGGAGCATTGCCATGAGTATGGCCGATGCGACTCCTGGATAAGCTTTCAGATGCTGCTATAAATCCCATGGCCCTGAATCTTTCGGACACAGTAATCTGCATCACCTGGAATAGTGACCTCTTTGTAGCTTCTCGGGCCATCATAGCAGGCAGCGGGAAGCGATCAAGACATCGGCAATGAAGATCCTCGCGTCTCTTTCATTTCTGCTGCTCCTCGCTTCAACTTCAGGTGATGCGAGGACTTCTTGAAAGTGCTTGCGCTTGCGCGACATACTATTTTACATTCGAATATGGATCCTAATGCTCTGTATTACATGCAGGGTCATGGGTTGTCCGTGCAACTGGAGCTGCGTCAGGCCTACCTGACGGATCCACGTGCTACTACGACAAGAACTACACCCCCATGAAGCCCTTATGCAAGCGAGACTTCGGGTACGCGGGTCTCGCTGTGAGAATGTCATGACATCACGTTCAGAGTTGTTGACGGGACCGGATTTGATATCCTGTATCTAATGCCGTCTGTTTTCTCATCTGATTCATCGTTTCAGGTGTTTGGTGACCAAGGTGGTGAAAAACTCACCGCATTTCTTGTTCAAGGGGAAATGCGCCTCCGACGTGCCTCGTAAGCCATCGATTACCGACATTGTGTTCTTCTAACCTCTCTACGGCAAGAAACGCTTGACAACACCGCAGAGTATTTCGTCTTTTAACGATTTTTCCGTTTTCTGTACCTGACGTTGTTAACCAGTGGATCAGATAAATCAGAAGTATTGCATGTTCCGCTCCGTCATGTTCGCACCGGGTACCAGCGGCATCACGGCTTCGACCATCTGTCCGCGCTGCACGTGCCAGAAGCTCAAGTCAGGCCCAACTTGCGTGTGTCCGCTGGGAAAGCTGTGCAAGCAGGACGCGGTGGGCCGATGGAAGGACGGCACGCGATGCAAGGACACCAGACAGAACCAGTTGAGTCGCGTGGGTTGTAAGATTAACCAGCAGAGAGAATCGTCTGACTTGCTTCAAGGCAACTCCTGAATGCGCTACCTGCTAATGACGTTTTTCTTCATTCTCTGTGCATTATTTTGACTTCTTATTTCTCAATCAACCACCAGGTGTGAAGTATCACGGTTTGTCAACGACACATTCATTGGCAACTGCATCAACAGTGCTCGTGAGCTCCATTCCCCTTACATGTCCCTTCCGTCAGCATTTTTTTTGTTCCATTCCCCTTCCTGTCATTGTGTATGGTATCGTTGATTACTTCATCGACCGTCCTTTTAGGCTCACCTTGTCCTCTTCGATGTGGTTTTCCCTCCGTTTCCCTCAGAGGGTCCAAATGAGTGCGTGAGTGCTGGACCAGGATGGGGTCCAATTTTCGTGAAGAACGGAGCTCAGAACATGATCAAGACTGGCGACCTCTGCCAGCGCTGCTCGTGCATCCGTGGGAAGTTTGTCAACTGCAAGCCTGTGCCTGGATGCGTCAGTAAGTGCCAAGCCAAGTTATTCCATTCTAGTCCGGCTTCCCTGATTGCCACGAAACCAAGTACATGAAAAGCTGTGCCGTAGTGAACTTAATCTCAATGTCTCTCCCTTTTGGTCCCCCCTCCCAGTGTGTGCACCCAAGACGTCTAGCAACACCAAGCAGCAGTGCAGCCAGTGCTGCAAGAAGGCGACCAATCCAGCAGCTGTTGAGCTGTGCAATACAGCGTGCAACAGAGTCGTTATAAGTGCATGAACTTAACTCTCTCGTTTATGAGTCATCCTGCATTGGCTGAAGTAAGCATTTAACGTCTATGTGGATCAGAACACATCATATACTGCAGTTTCCTGCTTCAATGTTGTGTAATGCAATATGCGGATATGTAATAAGATTACATAAATTCATAACCACCCTTTTTGGTAGTTCTGATTGCTCAAAACATGTGCACTGCACTGCACGTTATCGATTATGTACAGTTTCGTACCGTGTAGAGAACCCACCCACCCACCTTCCTGGAGTTGCGTTGCGATGGGACGCTGGACAAGTGCAGCGGGGTGGTGGGGACGAGCAATGCACCAAGCTTCCATTTCAAGCTGTTTCTTTGATTGATGGCTACTGCTCCTCGCTTCGCCCCCCCAATTCACCAGTCCCGGAATATCTCAGCGGAAACGGGTCGTCAAGCCTGACGACCCTCTGACGACTTGACGACATGCTGCCCCGGGCAGGAAAAAACTAAAACCCTATCGGATGGCATGCCATCCTAGGGAGGCATCAACCCTAAATCCATGCCTCCCTGTGTTTAGGGTTGATGCCTCCCTGACCGGATGCATGCCCTTCTGGGTTTATTTGTTTTGCCCGCGGGCAGCGAGCTCCCCTGGGCGGACTCGCTTGTCCGCTGAGATATATTCTTCGGAACAATGCAGGCCAACCATAAATTAGGCTAACCATTGTTAGGCTTCTATGTTTTCGAGTTGCGACAACACGCGCTAGTAGATTGCTATCCAAGTGAGTTTACGGCTGCTGCATATTTATTGATCGATTCTACATTCGGTCGGAAGGTCTAGGCGCGAACGCCAATCGATTTAGTCGTACCGGCCGCCTTATGACGGAGAACATCGGCCTGATCAGCAGCATGGCGACCGAGGGCGCAGACCGCAAGGATCAGGACGAGGGTCAAGTGCACGTTCCCGAGGTAATTCCGCCCTGGCGCGAGTCTCGGCCGGAGAATGCGGAGCACTGCGGTTTGTTCATTTAGGCATATAAGATTTCCGTTCCTAATCGGAATGAGGTATCGTCAATTTCTGAGTCTGACGTCGACCGTTGAGAATCAACGTCCGTATACTCGTTAGATGAGGTCGGTCGCACCGCAGGAATTGTGTGGCTGGCGTCCAGCTAACCCGTGCGTGTCCATGTGCGAGTGATCGCAGGAGCGAGGGTGGAGTAAATTCTGGGCGTACGTCGGACCTGGATTCCTCGTCGCCATAGCCTACATCGACCCGGCCAATTGTGAGTCACTTGATCTGCTGGTCGTGGCAATTGCTCACTCACAGTATCGCTTACACTGTGGCTCTTGCATGCACTCATTTTCCATGCGGATCGGAACTCCCCATCCCTGCTCGTCGTGCGCGCACAGTCTTCCTGAAACGGGACAAGACTCGTCGTGCCGTCTCTCTCACCGTCTCTTCCTCCCCTGCCCATCACAATCACACACTCACCTCGTCCTTTTACTCCCTCACTCCACCCGTTTTCCCTTTCGCTCGCCTCGTCTCTCTTTCTCTCCTGGTGCAGTTGAGAGCGACCTCAAGGCAGGAGCAGCCTACCAATACTCGGTGTGTTTCCGCTTTGCTCTCAGTTTCAGTTTCATCCCTACCAACTGTCAGTGGGCTCTTGGTCCATTGGCAGCGTCTGCTCTGCATTCTCCTGCGCGGCTCCGCGCACGTGCTCATGCATTCAGGAACCCTCTTTTTGCGATTTTTATCCGTTTTCAGCTTCTTTGGGTTCTACTGCTGGCATCGCTAGCGGGTCTGCTCATACAGTCACTGTCCGCCAACCTCGGTATAGTCACAGGTTAGTGCTCGACCCAACAGCAGAGAAGAGGCAAGGGGCTGCAGCGTGGTTCCACATCTAAAGGCGTTGCCTTTGTTCGAGCGCAAAGCCGCCTCCCTTTAAGCCTGCACACCATGCCATTCTTTCTATGCCACGCCATGCGATGCCATACCATGCCATGTGATGCGGCCATGCCTTGCCATGGCTTCATCTGACACAGCCCTCACCTACATGTGTACCCCTCATCAATTTCTATCGCCCCATCTGCATGACTGTGCCTGTGCCATGCTCTGCTGTGCTGTGCGGTGCTGTGCTGTGCGGCAATGCACGAGTACAGGCAAGCATCTGGCGCAGCATTGCAGGGCGGAGTACCCTCGAGGTGTCAACCTCGCGCTATGGGTGATTGCAGAGATCGAGATCATCGCCAGTGACATCCCAGAAGGTTTCTCTCCCCTCCATCATCCCTCCCTCCCTCATCCCTCCTCCCCTCCCTCATCCCTCCCTCCCTCATCCCTCCTCCCCTCCCTCATCCCTCCTCCCCTCCCTCGTCCCTCCTCCCCTCCCTCATCCCTCCTCCCCTCCCTCATCCTTCCTCCCCTCCCTCATCCCTCCTCCCCTCCCTCGTTTCTCCTCCTCTCCCTCATCTCTCCTCCTCTCCCTCATCTCTCCTTCCCTCCCTCATCTCTCCTCCCCTCCCTCATCTCTCCTCCCCTCCCTCATCTCTCCTCCCCTCCCTCATCTCTCCTCCTCTCCCTCATCTCTCCTCCTCTCCCTCATCTCTCCTCCTCTCCCTCATCTCTCCTCCCCTCCCGCATCTCTCCTCCTCTCCCTCATCTCTCCTCCCCTCCCTCATCTCTCCTCCTCTCCCTCATCTCTCCTCCCCTCCCGCATCTCTCCTCCCCTCCCTCATCTCTCCTCCTCTCCCTCGTCTCTCCTCCTCTCCCTCATCTCTCCTCCCCTCCCTTGTCTCTCTGTCTCTCGTTCGTCTGTTCACCCCTCCTCCCACTACCGCTCGGTACCTGGAGGCTGGATGCAGGGCGTGTATCCACCACTGCGCGCTCTCGCTTCTGTGTCGCTTGCACATGCCCTTGCACTCACCTTTCCCTCTGCAATCCATGTGTGTGCGTGTGTGTGTGTGTGCGCGCGCACGTGTGTGTGTGTGTGTGTGTGTGTGCGCGCGCACGTGTGTGTGTCTGTGTGTGTGTGCGTGTGTGTGTGTGTATGTGTGTGTGTGTGTGTATGCGTGTGTGTGTGTATGTGTGTGTGTATGTGTGTGTGTGTGTCTGTGATCGCATTTGTGCATTCACGTGTGTGCATGCACCTGTGCATTCACGTGTGTGCATGCACCTGTGCATTCACGTGTGTGCATGCACCTGTGCATGCATGGCAGTGATAGGAACGGCCTTTGCGCTCAACATGTTGTTTGGCATTCGTCTGTGGGCGGGAGTCATAATAACCGGTTTCAGCACGCTCCTCTTCCTCGGCCTCCAACGATTCGGGGTGAGTTCATGCGTGGACGGGTGTGTGCATGCGTGCATGGGTGGGTGCATGGGTGTGTGCATGCGTGCATGGGTGGGTGCATGGGTGTGTGCATGCGTGCATGGGTGGGTGCATGGGTGTGTGCATGCGTGCATGGGTGGGTGCATGGGTGTGTGCATGCGTGCATGGGTGGGTGCATGGGTGTGTGGATGCGTGCATGGGTGGGTGCATGTGTGTGTTCATGGGCTTCAGCACACTCCTCTTCCTCGGCCTCCAGCGATTCGGGGTGACTCTTCTCCCTTCCCTGCACCCCCCCACCTCTTTTTCTCACAAACCTTTTGCGGCCTGCAACCATATGAGCGGTCCAAAATCGTTCCTATGCATGTGCCCGCCCGTCTCATGCATGTTCAAAAGGCCCTGCTGGTTCTCATGATCGCGCGGCCTTTTGAAGTGACACAGTGCCTTCGTTCTTCTCCCCACCCCCCCTCCCGTCCCCCCAGGTGCGCAATCTGGAGGTGTTCATAGCGCTGCTGGTGATGGTGATAGCGTGCTGCTTCTTGAAGTGACTCAGTGCTTTCTTTCTTCTCCACACCCCACCTCACCCCCACTCACCAACCCCCCTTCCCAGGTGCGCAATCTGGAGGTGTTCATAGCGCTGCTGGTGATGGTGATAGCGTGCTGCTTCTTCATAGAGATGGGCTACGCGCCAGTGGATGGCATGGCGGTGTTAGAGGGCATGTTCGTGCCGCGCATACAGGACCTTGGGGCGCTCGCCATCGCCATCTCTCTCATCGGCGCTCTGGTCATGCCGTAAGCTGGGGATGAATGGGGGGGGAATGAATGGATGGCATGGCAGTGCTAGAGGGCATGTTCATCCCGCGCATACAGGACCTGGGGCCCCTTGCTATCGCCATCTCTCTCATCGGCGCGCTTGTGATGCCGTAAGTTGGTGGAGGAAGACGGAGTGATGGTGTGAGATGGTGTGATGGCATGGAGTGCATGCGTTAATGTGGTGTGTTTGCTTCTTGATTTGTCTCGCTTCCCAACCACACTCTTCTCCGCCCCATTCCCTGCCCATTCCCCCATTCCTCGTCCTCCAACTTCTCCCAACCTCTCGCCTGTCCCTGCCAGGCACAACCTCTTTCTGCACTCCGCGCTGGTGCTCAGCCGCAAGCCCCAGCGCACCAGTCAAGGCATCAAGGTGCGCTGCCCTTGCTACTGGCTCTGATGGGTGGGGGCTGGGCTGGTTGTGATGACTGCTGGCTGTGGTGGTTGCCTGGGTTACTGTGGTGGCTGTGCTGGAGCTGTGTGATGATAATGTTAAGAAAGACTTAAAGGGCCAAAGAGAATCATTAGTAGGTTGTGCTCACTGGAGAGTATCTCACAAGTGACTCCCATGAGCATGCTGTCCCTTCCACTGTTCCGCATCCACTGCCCTGCCCTTCCCTTCTTACTAGCCGTGATTCAACTCAACTGCCCAACCCACACTGTCCCGCTTCCCCCCCTCGCCCGTCCACCTCCCATTTTCTCCCCTTTCTCCCCCCTCCCCCGTCTGGTCATCAGGACGGGTGCCTGTATTCACTACTGGAGGTGGCAGCGGCGCTCATCATCAGCTTTGCCATCAACGTGGCTGTCATCTGCGTGGGCGGCGCCGTCTGCTCTCCCACCTCATCTCTCCCCCACTCTCTCTCCCCCCACACACCTCCCCGCCCCTGTCAGGACGGGTGCCTCTATTCGCTCCTGGAGGTGGCAGCGGCGCTCATAATCAGCTTCGCCATCAACGTGGCAGTCATCTGTGTGGGCGGCGCTGTCTGCTCCGCACCAAACCTCTCCGCGGACGTGCAGGCGAGCTGCAGCGACATCAGCCTGAGCAACGCCTACTTCCTGCTGCGCGACGTGCTGGGCGCGTGGTCCTCCACGCTCTTCGGCATCGCTCTGTTAGCCTCGGGGCAGAGCTCCACTATCACGGGGACGTACGCGGGGCAGTATGTGATGTCGGGGTTCTTGGAGCTGCACCTCGCCTCGTGGCTGCGCAACCTGCTCACTCGCCTCGTTGCGATTGTTCCCTCGCTCGCTGTTGCCATTGTGGCTGGCGCTACGGGCGCCGGCAACCTCATCATCGCCTCCTCGGTGGGTTGAGAAGGGTAGAGAGGAGGGGAGAAAGAGGGCCGGTGAACTTCTTTTGAGAGGGTAGTGGATTTTCTTTTGATTGTTGCTCCTTGCATTCTGTTTGTGTCTTCCATCTTTGTTGCATTTTGTTGCTTCTCTTCTTTGCCACTTCTCCTCGTTCACTCTGCACTGTTTTTCCACATCACTTTTCCTTGATCCTTTGCCTACATCCATCTGCCTAACTCCCATCCCATGGTCTTCTCCCCCCACCCTGCTCGCCTGCAGATCATCCTGTCGTTTGGCCTGCCCTATGCACTCATTCCTCTGCTCAAGTTCACCAGCAGCCCGGTCAAGATGGGTCCCTTCACCAACCACCCCACGGTGAGCAGAGCGCGACACATTTAGTAAAGAGTGACACAGTGGGCAGAGCACGGCACAGTGAGCAATCTCACAACAGAAAGAGCATGCCACAGTGAGCCTACAAATACCACTACCTATGGAACTCACCCTGCCCCCAAGATTTTCGGCAGCACACGGAAATCGTTGCATCACATCCATGTGCATGATTCCACTGCCTCTTTTCATCCCACCTTGCACGTGTCCATCTTTTCCCTTCCTTCCGCTCCTTCCAGGTCACTGTAGCTGCATACATCATCGGCACTGTAGTTATCTTTGTTAATTGCGTACTAGTGGTGCAAGCCTGTGTCGAGTACCTGGTATCAGACAGCATTCCCCACGCCGCCCGGATCCCCCTTGGGATTGCCATAGCCCTCGTGCTCCTAATCTACGTCGTCTCCCTTGCGCTGCTGGCGCGGCGGCCTGTAACAGAAGTTACGTACATTTCGGCCAATGAGGGGTCGAGCGTTGAGCTTGATGCGTATATGGGCTCTCCCCCTCATGACTTAGCGCGGAGGGGGGGGGGATGGTGATGAGGATGAGAAGGGAGAGGTGGAGGGTGGTGGAGAGGAGAGTAGAGAGGAGGGGGGAGATGACACAGGGGAGGGAGGATCGATAGAGATGACGAATGTGGTGTTGGATCGGGAAGGTGGTGTTGAGGAAGCGGATGAGGAAGGAGGGAGGGTCGAAACGAGGGAGGGATTGAAAGAGGAGTTGCTAGAAGCTGGACACATGGATAGCTCCTCGCTAGCTAAAAAATCATAACCAGGCTGTCAGTTTTATGCTTCACGCTACACCGTATATGTTTTCATTTATAACAAGAATAATGCTCAATGGAACGAGTGGATTTCATGGCCGCACGACAGCTCGAGTGAAAAAGTGGCGGTGCAACAGGTACAAGCTATTTTGACGAGTGTTGGCGGCTCATACTGTACCGAGTACGACCAGTTGTTTTGTAATGCTGACGAATTTCGCCTTCGCTGATCGACGGTCCACCTGACAGCCTCGCGTCGCGTGGCTTCGTCGATGGCTCAGCGCCACGTGGCCGCGGCTGTCGCCGCGCGTAGGGGCTTAGGCCATCGCGCGTTCCGAGTCAGCGACGTCTTTGACGGCGCTTGTCGCGGCCAGCCGTACGATGCGTTCATCCGATCCGTCGCATCTCGAAGCGTCGATTCTGATCGCACGCTCCTCGCATCGCTCCCGATCCTCCCCTCCACAATCCGATCGCACGATGCCGGGTGTGACCATACCGAAAGCACGTCCCCTCGTTTCGGGAGCCAGTTTTTCAGCCGACTCTATTCCCTCGCTGCAAGAACTTCCGCCGGCGTTAGTGAGGGGCGCGAGGGGAGTGACTATAGCGGGGGTAGGATGAAGCGGGAGCATGACGCGTACGAGGCGGCGGTGTACGCGCGGAATCTCAACGAGTACAACGCCGCGGCGCTCGAGCTCTCGCGGTCGCGAAAGTAAGCCGCCGTGGCGCATGTGGTGCATCGGATTCCCTCGCGAATCACGTGATTATAGTTGTTCGCGCGCTTTTCCCTCGGTTCCATCGCGGCACTATCCCACATTCCAGACCCTTGGTAGTACCGCGCATCACCTCCGCGGATTACCTCCGCGGATCACCTCCGCGGATCCTTCACCGCCGATCACTCTCACACTCCCCCAGCCACGCGCCTCTCCCCCCATCGCTATGTCTCCCCACCCGCAACCTGAGGCCACACCTGATATCTCAACTGCTCCCCCCAGGCCATACCTGCTGCGCACGCTGTACGGCGATATGCTGATGGACGGCGTGCAGCCCAACTTCCTCACCTTTAGCCCCCAACCTCCCCTTGTCCCATTCGCCGCGCCAAACCCCCACTCCCGCCATCCCGACCCCGGTTTCCCCTTCACCAGGCCGTACCTGCTGCGCACGCTGTAAGGCGACATGCTAATGGACGGCGTGCAGCCCAACTTCGTGACGTTCACCCCGCAATCCCCCCTCTGCTGTTCCCTGCCTCCCGCGTCCGCACTTCCCCCCTTCCCCCGATGCACCCCCCAGGCCATACCTACTGCGCACGCTGTACGCGGACATGCTGATGGACGGCGTGCAGCCCAACTTCGTGACGTTCCACGCGGCCATCACGGCGTGCATGCGCGCCAACCGCCTGCACGACCTCGTCTTCTTCTTTAATCAGATGCGCGCGCGCGGCATCACGCCCGACGTGAGTCTGTGAGGAGAAGCATGCGTAGGGAATCGCATTGTTCGTTGTGAGGTGGCGTGGCATTAACGGGATGGCAAGTGTTGTTGATCGCGCCAACCGCCTCGTCTTCTTCTTCAAACAGATGCTCGCACACGGCATTACTCCCGATGTGAGCAGCAGGTTTAGAAGATCATTAGTTTCAAGGTGAAAGCCTAAACCACCACCACCACCACCACCACCACCCACCCACGTGCAGCCGCTTTTGGCAGATTGTGGACTTTTGACATCCTCAAAAACAGACTCCGCGCCTTCCTCTCGCCTCCTCCGTCCCCCCCACCACTCCTCCAATCAGCGCTACATATTCAACTGCGTCATGACGGCGTACAGCCGCAGTGGGCACGTGGAGAGGGTGTTCCGCGTGGACTGGGACATGCGCGCTGCAGGGCGCCCGCCCAACATACGCACCTACCATGCGCTGCTCACTGCCTGCACCACCACCGGCCGCTTCGACAAAGCGTACTGCCTTCAGCCCTGCCCTCCCCTTCCTCTCCTTCTCTCCCGTCCCCTCCTCTCCACTCCACTGCCTCCTCTCCTCTCTCTCCGTCTCGCCTGGTGCTGATCCCCCCCTGTCTCCCCAACATACGCACCTACCATGCGCTGCTCACCGCCTGCACCACCACCGGCCGCTTCGATAAAGCGTACTGCCCTGCCCTCTTCTCCAGGCCCCTCCACTACTCTCTCCTCTCCTCTCCTCTCCTCTCCTCTCCTCTCCACTCCTCTCCACTCCTCTCCACTCCTCTCCACTCCTCTCCACTCCTCTCCACTCCTCACTCCCAAGCTCTCGTACCCAGTGCCCTCTCCGTGTAGCCGGTGCATACAATAGACGTCTCTGAAACTCCTCTATCCATACAACGGACTGTCCCCACCTCGCCTGCTGCTGCCACTCCCTGTGTCGTGCCCTTCGCGTGTATGTGTGCTGCGATCGCATGCACATATGCGTGCCGTCTATGTCCCACGATCCCAGTGTGGGCAGGAGGAGGGCACATGCATGAAGCGTGGCACTGACCTGTTGCTCCCATGATCCCATGACCCCATGGCGCCCATACCCCCCCGTAATCCCCCGCACCTGCCTCCCAGCGCAGAGGTGCAGGAGCGCATGAGCAAGGACGGAGTGGCGATGAACAAGTTCTGCTACGCTGCTCTCATCGCCATGCACCAGCGGGTCCGCCCCTCCTCCCCGCGCATCGTTGCCAAGGTGAGGTGGGGGAGAGGTGGGGGTTGCACTTGGGGCGCGGGGAAGGGGGAGGGGCGCACTGGGGGAAGTTGGGGTGGTTGGGCGCACTGTTGGGGGGATGGACACACAGGATGGATGCGCACTGTGGTGGGGAGAGCGTATCACCACCACCGCACACACTTCCCCCGTGCTATCCTCTCGGTAAAACAACCTCCAGTCATTCCCTTCCCCTCTTACTCCACCTCATCTCTTCTGTCACATCCCTCACTCCTCTCACTGCCTCACTGCTCTCACCTCCTCACTCCCAGTCACTCCCTCGTTCCCCCTCGCCCACCCTCACTTCACTCCTCCCCACAGATATTCTCTCTCGTGGAACAGTCCCTGACAGCACCCACCTACAGCCTTGAACCGGACTCCACCCCCTCCAAAACCACCACTGCCACCACCCCCGGCACCGCTGATTCGCCTGCTGCCGCCACCACTGAACCCACCACCGACTACCCCACTGCTTCCACCCTTGAATCCGCTGCTGCTAACGCCGCTGCTTCAGATTCCACCAGCAGCGCCACCCACGCCACAGCAGCCGCTGAGCACCCCCACACAGAAGCCGCTGCCGCCGTGCCTGCTGCTGCTGCTGCTGGTGGTGGCATGGGCGTGGGTGCGGCGGCGGGGTCAGAGGAGGAGCATGCTGCGATGGAGGAACTGGCGGAGCAGGAGGAGGGCGGGGTGGGCATGGGCATGGGTGATATGGATGATTACGGTGGGCGGGAGGAGAGCGCGGGAGGGGCGAGAGGAGGAGGTGGGCTGGTTTATGCGAATGCGGATCTCGTGGTGCACCGCGCTGCACTGAGGGCATTCCTGGACGCACACCAGCTGCAGGTGTGTGGCTGATGGAGGGAGAGGGGGAATTGCATGTGCGAATGCGGATCTCGTGGTGCACCGCGCTGCACTGAGGGCATTCCTGGACGCACACCAGCTGCAGGTGCGCCCTGGGGAGACTTAACTGGCACACGCATTAGTTGCAGGTGTGTGGCTGATGGAGGTGGGTGGGGGAGAGGGGGGACGTGTAGGAGAGGGGGGATGTGCGGTGTTTTCAGCATGGCTATTGATGTGCTGTGAGTGGCAATATCTGAGTCATTCTGGAAAATTCTCGGAAGTTATGTGCAGAGAAAAGGTGATACCTGATTTTTAAGAAATTGCGCGCGCGCGCGTGTGTGTGTGTGTGTGTGTGTGTGTGTGTGTGTGTGTGTGTGTGTGTGTGTGTGTGTGTGTGTGTGTGTGTGTGTGTGTGTGTGTGTGTGTGTGTGTGTGTGCGTGTTTGTGTGCGCCCGTGTGTGTGTATGTGTGTACGCATGCGTGTGCGCGCATATGAGTCCATGCGTGTTCCACCACTCCATACCATGCATGCAGGCAGCATTCCGTCTGGTGCGAATGATAGAGGAGAGTGGCACTGTCCCGGATGCTGCGCTGCAGACTCTCCTTTTCAGGTGTGTTCCTGCGCCTCTCGTGGCATGCCATCGCATGGCATGGCATGGCAGATTGATCTATGGCGATGTGTTTCTGTCACGCAGTTTTGATTCTGCATCCGGGGGTTCTTGCTGATTGCTCTCACTGCCCTCATTGCACGTGCTGGTGCGTATGCATGTGCATGTGCACACACACACGTATGCACGCACACTCACGCACGCACACGCACGCACGCATGCATGCATGTATCAGGGTGCATCTGCAGGCGGGCAACGAGGCAGAGGCGCTCAAGCTGGCAGACCTCTATTACGGCCCCAATGCGCGCCCGTATATCGACCAGTTCGTGGTGAGCCGCCAGCACAGCAGCGCTGAGCAGAGCAGCGCTGAGCAGAGCAGCGCTGAGGCAGTGTGTGAGATTCTCAGCTACCCACCGTGTGCAAGCCCGCCCCTACATCGACCAGTTCGTGGTGAGCCACAAGCACTGCACCGCTGCAGCTTTTAGGCAGCGCTGAAGCAGTGTTGGAGATTTTCAGCCATGGAGAACTGCTCATGCCTCAATGGCCCTTGCATTGACCAGTTGAGCCCTGAGCACTGATGCACTGAGCAGCGGTGCACTATCCTTTTCCCCCACTCTCATTTCCCTTCTCTTCTTGGTCTTCTTTTCTCCTCCCACCTTCACGCCCCACCACCATGCCGTGTTGTGCCCTGTCGTGCCATGCCACCCGTGCAGCCTGAGGGGGTTGTTGAGAGTTCCCATTATTCCCTGCATTCCTGATCCTCCTTTATCCTCCGCTCTCCACCACCCCATCATGCCATGCGTGCCATGCACACCACCCATGGCAGCAAGCCATCTCGTACAGTCTGAGGGAGCTGCGACCCATTGGAATGAACGTCGCCCTGCGACTGCTGGTAACCACCTTCGCCCACTCTCGCCCTCATCTCACCTTCCAACATGCCCACATCCCGTCCTCTTCTTCCACATATCACTACCCCGCGTCTTCTCTCAGCTCGGCTCCCCCACACTCCCAGGCAGATCGCTTTACCCCCCTCATGCATCATCTATCTTGCCCTTGCAGCCTATCTGCATGTGACACTCCGGTTCACTCTGCCCCCCTGCACCCATGTTCACCCATCTGCACCACTGCACGCCTATGCATGCGGTGATACCAGGAGCTGTTTTTCAACCACGGCTTCTACTTCACGCGCAAGCAGGGCAGCCAGCTATTGCAAGAGGCACTCACCAGCGATGTGAGTGCAGCCATGTGAATGTGGTGATGTGAACGCAGTCATATGAGCGGCCATGCAGTAGCTAGCACCATATGGTGAACTGTAGGATGAACTATGTGTCTGTTCCCCCCCACCCCTCCCTCCCCCTGTTCTCGCAACATGCAGAGGCGCAGCATGGCGGCAGCGGAGAGGCTGTTTGACCACGTGGTGGAGAAGCACCAGGCACCCGAGTTTGATGCTGTGCTCGACTTCATGCGCGCCCTCAGGGTGAGGGTGATTGGCTTTTAACATTCCACCCTTGTTACGAGTTAGTTCGGGCAGTAAGTTTGGGGATAGGTGTCAGGGAAACAAAGGTCATTTGATTGCTTGCTGCCTTACGGCTCTGTTTCACAGCATTGCAGATTGCCAAGGTTGTGTGCAGTCTAGATACTTCCCGACCTGACTTGTCTCTTGGTCTCTCTTTTTGTGTGTCCATGAACCCACCTGTGCTTCCTTGCTGTTGCAGCGCCGGCAAACACCCAAGACCGATCACCGGTGGTTGCTGGTCCAAGACCTGATCAAGCGGCGGCGGAACATCCGAGGGATGTGGATGAAGGGAATGCAGGTGGACGGCCGTGAGCATGAGGCACGGCTATCGGTGGAACAGGATGAGGTGTGATGTTGGAAGGTGATGATTTTGGAGTACCGTACAAGGGCGGTTGGCGCCAATAACCTGCAGAATAGAATATGTAGCATAAGACATTGGCGTTTTTTACTGAGGTCTGCCTAAAACATCAGCAGTAGGCAATCTTAGACAAAACTGGAAGATGATTTTAAGTTGATCCATACACCACAGTTTCTATATGAGGTTCTGGAAACTTCTAGTTGGTGTCACGCCGATGAACTTCCCTCCTCGTGCGGGGTTTAGCGAATTTCTCGCTGTTCGCCACGCGACTAGGGACAGCCATCTCTCGACGTGCGACACGCAGGTGTAACGCCGTCGCTCCATCGTGCTTCGCAATTTCCATCAATCCTCTCTCCTCTCGCTCTAGGGCTTATCCATTCACCACCAATATTTTCCCAACTAAAATATCTCCCAACAGAAAGTTATCATTTAGTCGCTCTATCTTGTACCAGCGGTATATCTTGTTTCGCTAGTAATTAGCGAGCTGCTTGGTACCCGTCGTCTCATGCGCGCGGGCCTCTAGGGCATGGCCGGTCGCGGAATCGCGCTGACGAAGCCGGCATGGATGAAGGAGCAGGAGGAGAAGGCTAAAGCAGAAGCGTCTCGAGCAGCAGCCATCGCCGCCGCCAAGGGCGGCGCAGCAGGCGGAGGCGACGACACCGACAGCAGCGACGACGAGGAGGAGGACGAAGCGCAGCGACTTGCGAAGAAGCCGATCGGGCCGGTCTGTCCCGCCAAGTGCTCCGCCGCGGGATCCGGCGTCGGGGGCGGATCGGCGGGCGCGCCCGTGTCCTTCGTTATAGTCCTTAAAGACGAGGACGGGCGGCGGATCTTAGCGGGCGGCGCGAAGGTGACGGTGAAGGTGACACCTAAGGCGGGCGTGCCTGGGCAGGAGCAGATCGCTGCGATCAAGGACCACGGCGACGGGTCGTACACGGCGAGTTACACCGTACAGCACCGAGGAGATTACACGGTCAACGCGGAGGTCAACGGCAGCCCCATCATGGGCAGCCCGTTCCCGGTTTTCTTCAGCGCCGCTACAGCCGGTCAACCGGCGTCAACGCCGCTTCCGGTGGCGGTCAACGCGGCGCCGGCGCCGCCGCTGATGCCGACGCCGACGCCGCAAATGGCGACGCCTCAACTGCCGACGCCGCAAATGGCGCCGGGCATGCATAACCCGTTGATGGCGGCGGCGCTGCAGTTCCGCGGGCTGCTGCCGAGCATGGGGGGAATGCCCTTCACCAGCCCGTACCCCGGCATGGCGGGCGGCGTGCTTCCGGGAACTGGTGAGGGAGATGGAGGATTTTTGTTTGTGTTTCTGGTGTGAGATTCGGTGCGAAATTAGAACTGGCGTGCTGTTTGGATTATTTTTTTCGATCCTTTGGGTCTGTTTGTCCTTGAACAAGCATCTGGTTTTCTTTTCCTCTTTTTTTGGCTGTGGCATCTGGTTTTGTTTGAAGGATTTTTTTTTTCCCATTAACTATGTACGATTGTTCCTTATCTCCCGTGTGTGCTGAATTCTGCAGGAGGGTTGACGAACATGCCTCTTGCGCCATCAGCGGCGGCGATGGCGGCGGCGCAGAGCATCATGGCGGTGCAGGCGATGCAGGCGCAGGCGCAGGCGCAAGCACAGGCGCAGGCCCAGGCTCAAGCGCAAGCTCAAGCGCACGCGCAAGTGCACGCGCAGGCGCAGGCGCAGGCTCAGGCGCAAGCGGCGGCGGCAGCTGCGGCGATTCAACAGCAGAAGCTGCTGCAGCAGAAGAGCGAATACATCGAGGACTTTTATTGTGAGTGCGGTTACCTCCCCGCACCCCGCCTCGCTGCCCCACCCCGCCTACTCCACTCCGCTTACCGCATCCCACACTTTCCGCGTTTGTGCGCCAACCATCCGTTGAATCCCGTGACTCTGCTTGTCCGCGCGCCGAAAATCGCAGTGCACCTGTTCCGCCGCCTTCCGCGTTCTTTGTCGCCTGTTATGCACCCTGCGACGCACCTTGCGATGTCCCCACCCGGGGTTCGTTGGCGCACGTAATGCATTCCATTCCCCTCTTTCCACCTTTCCGTCTCGCCCCGTTCCACTCTTCTTCTGATCCCTGACTCCAATCACGCCGCACCACGTGTCCCTTCGCCATCGTTTCGCTCAACCTTCCTTTCTGTGCGACTGTCTGTGCGACTGGCAGCGGCGATGGACGACGACGAGTTGGAGCGAACGATGCACGTTACCAACGTCAGCGCGATTCTCACACCCGAGCAGCTTCGCCAGCTCTTCGCCTTCTGCGGCACGGTTACCCGCTGCGAATTCCTCAACGACAAGAAAACCGTCGCACACGTGCGCTTCGGGAAAGCCGACGAGGCGAAAGCGGCGCTCGCGTTGAACAACATGGCGGTCGGCGACAAGCAGCTCAAAGTCGAGCTCGCGAAAACCGCGAAAGCCACGCGACAGGCCGTCCTCACCGCGCTCGCTCCGCCCGCCCCCGCCCCCGCACCCGCGCCCGCGCCCGCCGCCCTCGCGCCGTCCCCTGCGACGGCCGCTGCGACGTCGCAGATGGCGATGCAGCAGGCCGTCGCAATGCCGTTCATGCAGTTCCAGCAGGCGCTCGCGATGCAGCAGGCGCTGGCGCAGCAGGTGCGCAGCTCCGAGGCTAAGACCAAGGCGGAACTCGCCGCCAAGCGCGCGAAGGAGATCAGCCGCGCGATTGCGGCGGGCGGCGCGGGGAAGGACGACGGGAAGGACAAGGATGGGAAGGACGGAGACGGGAAGGGGAAGGACGGGAGCGGGTCTGACAGGTCCCGCTCGTCGTCGCGCTCGCGCTCGCGGTCGCGCTCCCCCTCCCGCCGCGACCGCCACCGCGGGCGGTCCCGCTCCCGCTCCCCGCGCTACCGCGGACGGTCGCGATCGCGCGATCGAGATCGACGGCCGCGAAGCAGGAGCCGCGATCGGGGGTATGGATGGCGGGAGCGGGGGCATAATCATTCTTATAAGTACAGCCGCACTAGGGATTGGGAGGCGGAGGATAAGGAGAGGGAAAGGGAGAGAGAGCGGGAGAGGGAGAGGAAGATTGAGAGGGATAGGCAGAGGGAGAAGGAGAGGGAGTTACAGAGGGCGAGAGAGAGGGAGCGCGAGAGAGAAAGAGAGAGGGAGCGAGCGAGAGAGAGGGAGAAGGAGAAGGAGAGAGAGAGGGAGAGGGCTCGGGAGCGTGAGAAGGAGAGGGAGAGGGAAAGGGCGAGGGAGCGTGGCCGGGACAAGGGTAGGGAGAAGGAGAGAGACAGGGAGGATGAGGACGAGAGATACGAGGGACGGCGCGGAAGAGGGAGGATTGAGGAGGAAGATAGGTACAAGGTAAGAAGGTATGAGTCGGATGATGAGGAGGAGGAAGAAGAAGAGAGGGTTGAAAGGAAGAAAGGTCGGGCTCGTGACGAGCCGGATTCGGAGGAGGAGAGTGAGGAGAGAGAGGAGGCCAGGCGGAAGGAAGCTGCGAGGAAGGCGAGGGGTAGAGGCGCGAGTGAGGAGAGTGAGGAGGAGGAAGATGAGGAGGAGAGGGGGAAGGGGAGGGGCGGGCGGAAGGAGGCGGAGCGGCGGGAGAAGGAGCTGAGAGAGAAGCTGCTTCGTGACAAGCTGGAGAGGCAGAGGCGCGAGGCGGAGCGGCGGAGAGGCGCGAAGGAGGAGGATGAGGAAGATGAGGAGGAGGAAGAGGAGCGGAAGGAGAAGAAGGTGGAGCGGAATGTGAGGAAGGGAGGGCGGGACGAGGACGAGAGTGATGGTTCGGATGGGGAAGGAGGGCGGGGTAAGAAGAGGGAAGAGGAGGACGAAAGTGACCGCTCTGAAGGGGAGGGAGGGAGGGTGAAGAAGAAAAGAGTGGAAGAGGATGAAGAGGAGGAGGAGGAGAGGCGCAGCGGGAGCGAGGAGAGGCATGAGAGCGTTGAGAAGGAGGAGGAAAGCGAGGAGAAGGCGAGGGATGCAAGGTCACGGCGTGCAGGGAGTGAGGAGAGTGATAAGGGTAAGGGTAGTGAGGGTGAGGGAGAGAGTGAGAGTGAAGGAGAGAGCGCCAAGAAGATGGAGGTTGATGCGGAGAAGAAGGATGAGAGTGAGGAGGAGGAGATTGGGAGGAAGAAGGGAGGGGATGAGAGCGAGGAAGAGAAGGAAAAAGAGGAGAAGAAGGAGAGGGATGATATTGAAGAAGAGAGGGAAATGGAGAGGAAGGGAAGGGTGGAGAGTGATGAGGAGAAGGAGAAAGAGGATGAGAGGGAGAAGGCGAAGGAGAAAGAGGGGGATGAGAGTGAAGAGGAGAAGGTGATTGAGAATGGGAGCAAAGGAGGATCGGAGGACGAGGCAGCCGTGAAGGAGGGAGGAGAGGGGGAGGAGGAGGAGGATGAGGATGAGAAGGAGAGGAGGAGCAGGAAGAAGGAGAGTGAACGGCACAAGGAGAAGAAGAGAAAGCACTGCCGGAGGAAGAACCGGTAAGTGGGAAGTGGTAGCCAAACACCTGGAGTGGCTTGTGTTTTGGTGACATGACCGGTCAGGTCTCATTCTGAGCTAGGTAGTTGATGCTTCTTTTTTTTCCTCACGCTTTCTGCTCTCTTCTTGTGCTTTCCGGCCAGTGATGATGACGAGGACAGCGAGGAGGACGAGGAGGAGCGGCGTCACAGGCGCAGCAGGAAGAGCAAGAAGAGCCACAAGCGCCGGCGCAGCCACCACGACGACGACGAGGATGAGGAAGGCGAGGGGAGGAAGGATAGGTCGTCTGATGAGGAAGAGAGGGATGATAGGGACAGGAAGGAGAAGGGTCGTGGGGGAAGGCGGAAGGAGAGAGGGTCTGATGATGAGGAGGAGGAGAAGGGTGGAAGGCGGAGCAGCAGGAAGAGGTCGGGGCGCGATGAGTCTGATGAGGAGAAGGGGCGGTCTTCTAAGGAGAAGAAGCACCACAGCCGCAGCCACCGCTCCAGGTCTGTTGTGCTTCACCCCTGTTCCAAAACTTTTGAACTTTCTCCTTCTCCTTGTACTGTGCTTTGGAGCATGCGATAATATTTGGCTGTAACATTTGTTGTTTCAAATTTGTTGTACTGCAGGCGTCGCTCACCTTCCCTCTCTCCTGCCCGTGGCAAGGACAGTCGCCGCCCGGCCTCCGATGACGACTCTCCTTCTCGCAGCGACTGATGTGGCTCTCGCCTAGGCTGCGTGATTTGTCTCCGGTCTGAGTTGGAGCTTGCTTTTCCATAGAACCGTCTGCCACCACACCTTTGCAAGAACCTTTTAGTTTTTCGTCTCCACTCTTTTTCTGCTACCGCTGCTGTGTCTGCAACTTCTGCTGCCCCTGCAACTGCTGCTGGCCCTGCAACTACTGCTGCTTCTACTACTGCTGCTGCTGCAACGTGTTGCAAAGTCTATCTGCTCTTTCTTCAGGCCTCACGCTGAACTCTTTCCTTGATGGCGTTTGGGAGAAGGCGGATTGGGAACGGGTTTGTTTGGAGCCCGTGGATTGTGTGGGAGTGGCACAGATTGGATTTGTTTTTCATAGCATGGGTCATGCTGGTTTGCATGAATGTGCATGATTGTGCATGTGCATGGTTATGCATTGATATGCATTAGTATGCTCAATGTGCATGACTGATCATTCATGTGCATGAATGCGCGTCAAGCGTGAGTCTGCATCAATGGTCATGAATTTACATCAATGCGCATGAATGTGCATTAATGTGACGAATGTTGATGTCATGCCTGAGCACGTGTGCATGAGATGTGCATCACTGAAGTGTCAGCCAATGCAGGCCACTCTTGACCTTCAGATCAACATGCCAGCACAGGCAGCTAACCACCATTCATGTGGAGGATTCGTCCACACTCCCATCATGGACCTTGCATTCAATCGGGCATCAGCCAGCCAGCCAGCCATTAAACGCACAAGGCAAGGCAGCTCATGCCATCTGTCCTTCTGTTTTCTCTGGCTGAAGAGCTCTGGTCGGCTTGTCCTGCTTTGTGATGCTATCTCACTGCAAGCATGGGATGGGATGCCTCCATATGCTGCTAGCTTGCCTTCTCATTGGCACACAATTGGCTGCTGGGATGGACCATGTTCTCCTGTCTGCCCTGGTTGTCCTGTGGCTTTGTGCTGCTGGCATGGTCTGTCTGGAATTTTGTGCATGGATATGGGGGATGGCATGGCAGATGGATTGAGGTATGTGCATTGTGGGGGAACAGATGGCCAGAGACTTTGCCTTGGAGCATGGCATGTGTCACCACTGCTTTCAGCTGCTTGGTTGTCGTGTCTTTCAGTGCATGTCTCTGCTCTGTTGACTTGCTGTTGATGTATACCATAGCTAACTTCCATAATCATTCTTGCTTCTAAACAGTCTTGTTCCTAGGCGTGTACACTAAAAACTTAGGAGATCACTCTGCGCTACTGAGGGAAGCTTGGGCCCCGCAAACTACCCAGCTACTGCACTTGCTTGCGTCACCACTTGAGAATTGCCTTAGGGATGTACTGCAATGTGACAGAGTCCCGATTAGTAATTTAGTACTGATAAGATTGGCAAATCGAGGCAGCATGCAGCAATGGAAAGTAACATCACTGTGTACCTTGGCAATGAGTCGTTGATAATAGGGCCTGAGCTCCTCCACATTCAAGCGCTGTGCACTCTTGCTGTAGAGGTCGTATTGGCTGTGGGGGGGGGCAAGTTCAAGGCATACTAAGTTTAGACCTCAAAATGTACACACAGATGAGCACCAGGGATGTAGGAAAGCGAGTGAAGTGTTCTTACTTGAAGTCCTTGAGCCATGGAAGCATCTCCCGATCAAAGTCGTCCATCAGGTGTTGGTACTCTTCATCCCTGTGCAGAGCTGCGTCCACGATATGGTTAGAACTGAAATGTCACCACCAAATAACAGCATCAACGCACATTTGCGCTCTGTTGTACTCACCATAGAATGAGTGATAGCGGATCATGTAGAGGCCTTGGGGTGGAATGCTGCAGCCGTTTTGCACAAGGACTTGATACCTGCAGGAGATTAACCAAATGTGGTTTAGTTGACGCATTTAAAGAACACCGCGCACTGTAAGAAAGGTGAAATTGCCACTCACATATACTCGTCATGGCCCCAGGATATATGGACCTTGTCCATTCCGCAGCCTTCCTCATAAATACCACACTCTGTGTTCAGGTCTTCAACTGACGAGTCTGGATTGCTGTTGAAGAACTGCAGGAGGGAGAACGAACAGAACGTCAGCTTCAAAGAATATGGTCGTAGATTTTTCAGCCAAGACAACTATAAATTCAGACGCTCCAACCTTTGAGTGGACGATCTTGTTGCTAAACCGACAGCCAACAGGAAACGTATCACCTGCAGTAAAACCACAAGAATCTTTTAGTAACCAAGCATCAGCGAAACTTGCTGCGGGTACCCAAAACGGCATGACTTACCAACAACTGCCCACTGGGGTTCGCTGCCGAACTTCGGATGCAGGAGAACCTTCCCCATATCTGAAGCAACACAGTAAGAATTTGTCAAATCGGCTGTCGGAGGTGCACCAATATAGCAGAAAGTGCAAACGTTTTTTAAGCAATTACCATGAAGGAACCCAACGAGTGGGTACCAGTCTTCTTCCTCGCTCGGGTGGTCCCTTCTAATCGCCTCCGCTGCCTGTAGTGCATGCTCGATCTGCGCCATATCCAGATCGGGATCGCTGTCGTCCACGAGCTCGTTTAACAGCTCCGCCGCTTCCCACACGCTCATCTCCGCCTTGTCCAGTTTCAGATGCCTTTCCTTCATTGCGAGAACCTGATATCACGTCAGCACACAGACAAACAATCAGTACGGCGTGAACGAGTAGCACTTGGAAGGACAAAAGCCGAGCATGCATCCAGACTTACGAATCCCAGGGTCTGCTTGGAATGGTTAATGTGGTAGACGTTCTCTACCATCGTATTCCTCTCGTTTTCCTCGTCGTACTCCCTGAAAACAGCAGCAAACGAATGTAAGCTTGAAGGATGAGGACAGCCCGCCATATACGGCGGTGGAATGTAGTACTACCTGAAGCCCCTCCCGAACTTGTTCTTCGGGCTTGTGGTGCACGGAACAATCGCCATGTTCGACGGAGTGTTGATCGGAGCCATGAATGGTAGAAGTATAGGCGAGACGGTATTAGAGGATGGTGTCACCGAGACGTTATCACAGGTCTGGAGCAACTGCGAGATGTGAAAACTAGGTCTCGTGGATTACGATTAATATACATGCGGAAGGACTAGAGCTGCCTTTAGTGAAAAAGCGGTGCGATTGTCAAGTAGACAACGTAAAAGGCGGCTGTCAGAGAAATGGAGACAGGGTGTCAGTCTGGCGTGAGTTTATCAGGCTGACTGATTCCTACCTGACCATCTGCTGAGTGCAGCAGGGGGCGGCTTTCTTGAGATTTTCGAGCCAAGCGGCTCGGCTCCCCAGACATGTTCAAGGGCATGACTCCGAGATTGGGTGTAAATAACCAAGTCGAAATTATTCAAATAGGTACACTCATACATTCAGCTCACTTCCACGAGATGTTGAGAGATGGAAATGGATATATGGTGAATATCTTCTTGTGTGCAACATGTAGCAGTTAAGGGCCTGGTAAATCTGACTTTTATACAAGAGATTGGCAATCTACAGATTTTTTGAACGGTGAGAGGTTGCCAAGCTGAGCAACCCGAATGCTGCAACTGAGGACTTCTGTTGTGCCCTTCGCGGTCGCGTACATACGGTAGCTTCACGGTAGTTGTGTACACGATGTATATCATCACAACTCTAATGTAGGAAGAAATGGAGTAAGATTGGAGGGGGTGGAAGCAGGATCCAGCTCTAGAGCACCACGAGGAGGCGGGGGTAATCTCTTAGGGCTGCTCTCGTTGCCTTGTAGGTGGAAGCTTGGAACGAGGTGTGAGAAACTGTTGATGCGAACAAACCGCGTGCCACCAGGAATTCTCTGTTGAGGGTGGCAAACCGTACGTGGCAGGAAAAGGAGACAAGGGGAAGTGAGTTGACAGCAGCCAAGGAAACAGCTACACTGGAAAGTTGGAAACCCAATCCTTACTGTACATATCTCCATGTCCCATGCACACTTGCCTGCCAGCATACCCAAGCACTCACGCATTCATAAGCCCATGCAAACACACCTGAAATACTGAGCTGAACACCCCACCAGGGACCCTCTCCAGGAACCACACAGCCCTCCACCCCATCGCTGTAACACCCTGCACTCCTGCTGCTGCTGCCGACGCTGCTGTGGGGTCACTCGGCAGCGGTATGGACGACTCGGCAGGTATCACCTCCACCAGATAGTACCTCCGCCTGGCAAACGACTTCTCCGCATACAACGCCCACACCTGGCCTATCTCCGGCAAAACCGTAGCCGTGCGCGCATTCGGGGAAGCCAGCTTGGAGATTCGGAAGGAGAAGGTGTTAACAGAGTCGAGCGTTGTGGGTTTGCCGAATTTGAAGTACCCAATACTGGGCTCTGTTCTTTCTGCTGGGTCGGCCAGAGCAGCTGCGGCCTCGGTCTGAGTGATGGCGCCAGCGGCAGCGGTGCGCTTCTTGGAGAGTGCGGCGGGCTCGAGCCAGACTATGGTGCAAGAGAAGGGCGCGTGAGACACCTGGCGGATGGCGCCGAGGAAGCGGGGGAAGCCGTCAGAGTCATCATATAGGGTCCATACCTGTTGGGGGTTGAGGGGCAAACGAACGAGAGCAGGAACCATGGTGAAGCGTGGAAGCAAGGAACATTATGAGTTCAGGTGCAAAGACACAGCGGATCTGAAAACCATGGTGAAGCGCTGATGATGCATCATGCACGCGCATGCTGTCCACTGCTTGTGTGGGATGAGGACTGGAACTCACATCGCCTTGTCGGAACGTTTCTTCCGTGCGATCATCATCGAAGCAGTGGAAGTCAGGATCTGGAACAGAGAAGCGCTTTGCTTCCTCCCCCTCCTCTCCTTCTTCCTCCTCGCTCTCCTCTTCCTCTTCATCAGACGAGATGATCTCCACCACCTCCCCCTCATGCATAAACCCATTCCTCGTCCCATCACCACTCTTCTTCCCACCACTGCTGCCCCGCCCGTCCCCTCGCCTTTCACCACTCCTCCCCTCTTCCTTCCCTGCTGCGTGGCTTGACACCCCTGGCCTGCCCTCCATAGGCACATCCGTGGAATTCCCCTCTCCTTGCACCCTCCCCGAGGCGTCTCCAGCCATTCCCTGTCTACTATCAGCTCCAGCCCCGGAGCCTTTGCTCGCATCAACCCCCCCACCAGCTGCGTCTTGGTCAGCCCTGGGTTTCCTGGGCTGACCGCCGCCCCCTGCGGCCACCCCATTGACCCCTTTCACCCCCGCCTCAGCCTCGGTCACCTCCATGACGTCATCATCGTCGTTGTCATCCCCCAGGTGGTACACCACCGGCTTCCTGCTGCGCGCCGACCGCCTCATACCGCCTCCAACCATCTCCTCGTCCTCCCCCACCCCTCCGCCCTCTCCCTGTGTCTGCCCCGCGCCTGCCGGCCACCCCTGGTAACCCCCCTGCAAGGGGTCCCTGTTTCCTCCCCCACCACCAGCACCACGACCAGCATCGTCATCATCACTGTCAGCATCCATACGGAAGTCCCACTCCTCGTCACCATCGCTGCTGTCCCCCGCCCCCCCTCGCCCTCCCCCCTGCTTCCTCTTCCGCAGCCTGTTCTTCCGCCCTGCTTGCTTCCCACCACCCCTCTCACTCTCTCCACCTGCTGCTGCTGCTTCCTGCGCACCTGCAGCGCCATTACCAGCACTGGTGGCTCCGGCAGCAGCACCACCAGCAGCAGCGGCGGTTTTCGCCTGCTGTTGTCGCCTGCGCTCTAGCAACTCATCCATCTGCATCTGCCGCCTCACCTGCGCCTTCGCCTGCTCCTGCTGCACCTCCCCTGCCACTCTCTCCCTCTGCGCCCTCTCCTCCTCCGCTCTAGCCCTCAACGCCTCCTCCACACTTCCTGTTTGACCAAACTGCTGCGTACCCACCCCTGCTGCACCTGACCCCATCGCTGCTCGCATTTTCTCATGCTGCTCCCTCTGCAGCTGCTGCTGCCGCCGCTGGGCTTCCTGCTGCAGCTGCTGCTGCCGCCGATGTTCCTCCTGCTGTTGCTGCTGTAGGCGTCTCTGTGCTTCCTGCAGCCGCCGCTGCTCCTCTAAGTGCTGCTGCTGCAGCTGCTGTTGTCGCCGCAATTGCTCCTGCTGCTGCTGAAGCCGCTGCTGTTGTTGTTGTTGCTGCTGCTGTTGCCACTGTTGACTGCCATACACCCCCGCACCATCTGTCGAAAACGGGAACTGTGCAAAGTTAGCAGCACCAGGAAAAGCCCCCCCAGTCCCATGTCCTCCGAACTGCCCTGCAATCGCAGCAGCCGCTGCAGCAGCGGCAGCAGCAGCGTCCCCGGCCGCCGCAGCAGCAGCAGCCGCGCCTCCCCCGGTGTTCCTCAGGGATTCCGCGACAGCAGCAGCCTGCGCGGCTGCAGCAGCTGCCATGGCGGCAGCAGCGGAATGCACATTGCTGTAGGACGCTGGCATGCCATACTGCATGCCGCCGTTGGGCATGAAGTTAGGTTGTTGAGGCACACCCCTCGCTTGTGCCTGTGCCTGTTGTGCTTGTGCCTGTGCCTGTTGTGCTTGTGCCTGTGCCTGTTGTGCTTGTGCCTGTGCCTGCCTTACTGCCTGTGCATGTGCCTGTGCGTGTGCTTGCGCGTGTGCCTGCGCTGCTGCCTGTGACTGCGTCCGTGGTTGCGGCACGCTGCCGTTTTGTTTACCAGCCGCAGTACTAGCGGCAGATGCGGTGGCAGGCATGGCCTTGAACGAGCTCTTGCAAATAATGCACTGTACAACGACCGCCATGGCGTCCCGCAAACACAAGAACCGCGTCCCGCACGTTGGACACCGCGTCTCGAATTGATTTCCCGCTCCCTGTCCCCCCGCAGCTGCTGCTGCTCCCCCTGCTGGTGCTGCAGGCGGGGGCTTCGCTGCTGCAGGAGCTCTGTGTTGACTCTTCGAGGCATGAGCGCCGGCCGGTGCTCCTGCTCGCCCTGTGTTTACGTTAAGTCGTCGCTTGGCGTCATGCACGGCCTTCTTCTGCTTGTCCGATACCACTGTGAACGCCTCGGATAGCAGCTTGAACGCTGCTTCTGCTCCGCTGGTCTTGTTCTTGTCCGGATGCAGCAGCAGCGCCAGGCGACGGTACGCCTTCTTGATCTGACTGTCGTCATCGCAGAATGCGGGGATTTGGAGAAGCGCGTACCAGTCCACGTCACCTCCCACGCGGTTCAGCGAAGCTTCGTGAACTTCGACCACGGCACTGACTTGCGTGAGCCCGTCGAGATTGGGAAATAGCGATTGGGCTTTCGATACTAGTCGACGAGCCCTGGCGTAATCGCCGCTTGAAAGAGCCGCTTCGGCTAGCTCCTTAGCCTTCGTCGCGTCTTCTCTATTGCACTCCATCTGATTCAGGAATAATATGAATTGACGGCGACGAGTTATCGATTATGAAGCGTAGCCTAGGATTTGCACTATGCGGCCGTCCAAGCCCCCGATAACAGACGAGCATGTAGGTGGCAGACTCTAAGCTGTCCCATGAATGCATGGTTAGCGAGCCTTGGCATAACGAGGATAGCAGTATAGAAGCTGCAGCATTATGAGGACAGAATGCTATGCTCGTGACACTAAGACGACGACAACTCAGGCCTCCGGAGAGAAAAACGTAAGGTCGTTGTCGTTGAAGGACAACCTAGTCAGTCACCAAGGGAACCTGGTGTCAACGATACGCAGCATGGGTGGTGAAAATGGATCCCAAAACCAAGGATCTCTGCCACAACAGGAGCTCTGACAGCCGTATCTGGAAGACCGCCACAAAAACACCACTCTGCAGACGGATGCGTCTCGCGACAAGCACCCTCGATTCGAGGGGAAACAGTAACCTTTCTCCATAAACATGATTTTGCGTTTCCATCCAGTTTGTTCAGTCGATTCTACAGAAAACATAGGGTTGACTCAGGGGACCACGATTTTTGTGTGATTTTACCGAAGGAAAACCAGCATCTTCCTTCGTCAATATCTTCGCCACGTTGCGTGGATTCGTTTTCCTCCTCCTCCACGTCTTTCTAGTTTCCAGCATCAGAGTTTCATTTTGGTTCAGCGAACCAGCAAATCCTCCTCTCTTCTCTAGTGTTCGTGCTTTCTGTGCCGAACCCTAGCAATAATCTCTTCCTTTCTCGTAACTCGCGTCGACCGCCATGGGAAAGGGTCCTGGTTCCTTCTCAGACATTGGCAAGAAGGCCAAGGGTAAGACCGTTCGTCTTGACAGCTACCGTGTAGTCGTTACTTAAGCACGTCGTATGTATGTACTGATCGAGCATTTATGGATCTTGAACAGAGCTTCTTTTCAAGCATTACGCTTACGATCACAGCATCAACATCTCCACAAAGACTGATTCGGGCTTGGTAAGATTATTAGATGCAACTCAGGTTGAGCCAGGATAAGATCCAGTAGTGCTAATGCTCCCCTTTAATAAAAATGCAGAAGTTTCAAACCGCATCAGTGAAGAAGGGAGACGAGGTGTCGTGCGATGTGAAGACTGAGGTCGAGATTGGAAACGTTGAGGCGGAGTTCAAGCTTGATACGAAGTCCAAGGTACGTACGGGATTGTCTTGTAAGAATATAATGTGCCTTAGCAGCAGCCACGGGCTGACAGTTTGATCTGGAAAACGTGCCCTTCCCTGTGTTTCAGCTTTATTTCAAGGCCGTTTACGAGGATCTTGCTCCTGGTCTGAAGCTTGCCCTAACTGGAATCGTTCCGGACTCGAAAGCCACCAAGGTGAGTGGTGAACCCTGATCATCACTCAGTGTTTGCTCGCGCGGAATGATTTGAACTTCATTTCTAGATTATTGCATGACATGAGTACCTCGGGGTTTTGCAGGCAGAGCTGACCTACAAGCAAGAGTTGCTACACGTGAATGCCACCGTCGGCCTTGTTACACAACCCGTTTTCGAGGGTGCTCTTTCCGTCGGAACCAAGGGAGTGGTTGTTGGTGCTGAGCTTGGCTACGACACTGCTACTAACAGTGCGACCAAGTACAACCTTGGCGTGGCTTACTCCGAATCCGACTTCGCCGCTTCCTTGTTGATGTAAGCCTGTCTTACCCGCTCTTTTGTATCCAATTTTTTGCACTACACCAGTGGTTGACTAAACCTGCAATGCCTACCTGTGTGCAGTGCTGACAAGCTGGACACCTTGAAGGCAGCTTATTTCCAGAAGGTGAAGGAGAACGTGGAGGTTGCTGTCGAGGCAGCGCACAAACTCTCCAAAAGCGACACTACTTTCACAGCAGGTGCTTCCTTCGAGCTTGATCCTCTCACAGAGGCCAAGCTCAGGTTCAACAACCGTGGCACAGTTGCTGCTCTCCTCCAGCACGAGTTCCGGCCCAAGTCCAAAGTCACCATTGCAGGAGAGGTTGACTCCAAGGCTCTTGACAAGTCAGGCAAGGTTGGGCTTGCCATTGCTCTCAAGCTGTAGCTAGGTGGTCTGTTCAATTGGACCCCACATTTCATTCCAGCAGTAGTGGTTATGTGTCTCACATTCCGTATCATTGTTTATCTGTAGCAACCAGCTATATTTACCCAAACACTAGTCTTGAGGTTTTTTAATTTAGGCTCTCGTCAGTTTTTTTACATAGCGTACGATGGTTGGAACAATCATTTATGAATAGAGCCCGCGTATAGACTGATTCGTTGATGCCCACGCTCTTTGTAACTGGCTAAATCAGTTCGGTTGATCAACAAACCACAGCATTCAGTCGTCATCCTTTTTCCACCGACAAGCCGCCGACTTCCCCATGAAGTCAGGAGATGTCTCTCGGCGATGCTGTGGAGACATTCTGAGATACTGTAAGGATTTTTTTCCTCGCATTGACTGAGCAGGCATTGAGTCAGGCAGTGCGAGTGCAATGGCGTTAGATTCCGTTGTAGCCGCCTCGGCTCCAGGCAAGGTGCTCCTAGTGGGAGCGTACCTTGTTGTAGAGCCTCCTGATCAAGGCCTCGTACTCGCCACGAACGCGCGCTTCTACGCCATTGCGCAGCCGCTAATCGCCGTGAGGGAGAATGAGGTTACGGAAACAGCTGCAGCCGAAGCAGCAGATGCGGGTAGAAAGAGCCGGATGACCGTTTGCGTGGACTCGCCTCAACGAGACAGCTGCTACTGCTTCGACCTGTCTCTCGCGGATCTCTCAGTCAGCAATCGCAGGTGAATATCGTTCAGTACCGGCAGATGCCTTCAGTTGTCACTTGGCACTGCTAACACGTTGTGCTTGGCGCTACGTTCCCCCTTTATGTCTGCAAATTCAAGGTCCGTGCCGCCGTTGATGTCCGTGCAGGGAAGGTGACGCATGTTCGAATGCATGTACAGAACAGAAAAAAGCGGAGGAAGGCAACGCGCAGAGGGTTTCAGGCAACCCGTACGTGGAAAGGGTGGTTCAGGTGGCGTTGGGAGCTGCTTTGGGAGAGACAGGCGGAGGAGTGAAGGACGGAGCAACGGACAAGCGGCAGCTGAGGGAGCGGCTGGCGAGTGCAGGAGTGCGCATCACCATTGCAGGAGACAATGACTTCTACTCACACCGCCACACTGTACACCGCCCCTCCATGCACATTCCCCCATGCACATTCCCCCATGCACATTCCCCCATGCACATTCCCCCATGCACGTTCCCCCATTCACATTCCCCCATGCACATTCCCCCATTCACATTCCCCCATGCACATTCCCCCATTCACATTCCCCCATGCACATTCCCCCATGCACATTCCCCCATTCACATTCCCCCATGCACATTCCCCCATTCACATTCCCCCATGCACATTTCTCCATGTGAATTCCCTCATACACATTTCCCCATGCACATTCCCCCATGCACATTCTCCCATGCACATACTCCCATGCTCATTCCCCCTTGCACATTCCTCCATGCACATTTCCCCGTGCACTTTCCCCCATACATGTTCCCCCATACACATTCCCCCATGCACATTCCCCCATGCACATTCCCCCATGCACATTGCCCCATGCACATTCCCCCATGCACATTCTCCCGTACTCATTTCCCCATGCACATTTCTCCATGCACATTCCCCGTGCACTTTCCCCATACATGTTCCCCCATGCCGAACGCACATTTCCCCATGCCCCATGCACATTCCCCCATGCCCCATGCACATTCCCCCATGCCCCATGCACATTGCTTCCTCCATGCACACCCCTCTGTGTGTGTGCAGCTGCAACGGATGGGCCTGCCGCTCTCTGCGTCCTCCCTGGCCCGCATCCCCCCCTTCGCCCCCATCGTCAGCAACCCTCCATCAGCAGCCCCAGCCACATCAACACCCCCGGTCACAGCAGCAGCCCCAGACGCAGCGGCACCAGCATCAACATCAGCAGTCGCAGCAGCAGCAGCAGCAGAGGCGACGAGGGGGCACGTGCCAGAGGTGGCGAAGACAGGGCTGGGCTCCTCTGCCGCCATGACAGCTGCTGTCTCAGCCGCCCTGCTGCGCTTCCTCCGCGTGCTGGGGGGCAGGGGCCATGGCGCTGCTGATGAGGGTTGTCAGGAGCGGGCGATGGGGAGTGGAGCGGAGGAGGGCTCTCAAGAGGAGTCGGTGGGGAGTGCGGGGACGGTGGGGAGGGAGGAGGTGGTGCATCGGGTGGCGCAGGTGGCGCACTGCCTGGCGCAGGGCAAGGCGGGCAGTGGGTTTGATGTGGCAGCTGGCGTGTTTGGGTCCATGTGCTACCAGCGCTTCAACCCCGCCGTCATGCACGCTCTTATGGTGGGTGCTTGCTCGATGGGTGGGTGTTGCCATGTCAGGAGGGATGGAGGGAGAAGCTATGCACTTAAATATAGCGTATGCACTTGTGTGACATTTCTTGACCCATGTTTCCTCCTGTCCTGTGAACCTTGGGGTTGTCGCAGGGGGCAGAGGCAGCAATGACAGTGAGCAGCATATCAGCCACACTGCGGTTTCCTCTGTGGGATCACACCATCGCTCCCCTGCACCTCCCACCAGGCCTTCTCCTGGTATGCATCCATCCCTCCCACTCTCCCTCTTCCCCATTCCAACACTCTCTCATTCTACTATCCCATTCTCCCACTCTCCCCTTCTTGCTACACGAGCATCTCTTTACTCCCCTCTCACTATCCCTTTCATGCCTTCTTTCTTCGACAATCTTTCTCGGTGATTCTGCGTGGTAGGTACTGGGCGAGCCAGGCACAGGGGGCACCGCCACACCCTCCATGCTTTCCGCTGTCATGAAGTGAGTGTGAGCGTGCGTGGACATTCTGGAACATTATTCGATTGCTCTTAGTGTGAGTCGCACTTTCACACCCATCATTTCATCAACCCACATTGACATCTTACTAGCATGCCATCATGCCATCGCCCATACCACTCTGCAGTTCGTTGCTGCAGCAGTCCCTCACCTCTCCCTGACCCAATGCAATCATATCCTCCTTCTCCTCTTCCCCGTATCCTCCCCCACCCCGCAGGTGGCGGAAGCAATCACCAGAGGAAGCAGAGCCCATTTGGGAAGGCCTGAAAGGGGCCAATGCGGCAGTTGCTGCTGCTCTCTCGCACCTGTCCCTGCTCGCTCGCACCCATCCAGGCGCCTTCTCCACCACTCTGAACCACCTGCAGCACGTGCCTCTCACTGCAGCAGCCCCAGTGGCGCCTGTTGCTGCCGCAACCCAGGTGAACCCCTTGTGTGCCACCAACGAGGCAGCGGGAGATCTCCAAGCAGGGACACACGCTCATGGTAGCAGCGACAGCCATACAAGCAGCATCGTTGAACCACACGCACCACAGCAACCACAGGAACAACAAGAATCGTTAAACAGCCAAGAGCAGCAAGGAGGTGACATCCGGAATACCATCCTACATGCCCTCCTCACCCTGCGGTCCTCCTTCCTTTCAGTGCGCCACCTGCTCTCTGCCATGGGCGCTGCTGCTGCCACGCCCATCGAACCCCCCCAGCAGACCGCTCTTCTTGACGCCACCATGCAGCAGCCGGGGGTGGTGATGGCGGGGGTGCCGGGTGCAGGGGGGTTTGACAGTGTTTTTGCGGTGGTGGTGGGGGAGGAGGCAGCGAGGAGGCTGGATGGCGTGTGGGCGGGGATGGGGGTGATGCAGATGGGCGTAAGGAGTGGTTCTAAGGGGATGATGTGGGAGGAGGTAGAGGGGTTGATGAGGATGCTGGGAAGGGGATGAGAAGCACAGGACAATGTGGGATGGGTCAATGTGGGATGGGTCAATGTCGCATGGGTCAATGTGGCATGGATCAATGTGGCATGTGCCAATGTTGCATAGGTCAATGTGTCATGGTTCAATCTGGCATGGATCGATGTGGCATGTGTCAATGTTGCATGGGTCAATGCCAAAAATAATTTGCCCTTTCCCTCGGTCCTCACACATGTTCATCCCAATTAGAGTGCACTACAAGTTACTGAATGTACCGGTGCGTTCTCTCATGGAATGAATCCATAGAATAAACAGGGATATGGCTACTCATGCCATGCACAAGGACTTACAGGTAATGCATGGCTATTATAAAATGTCTTTCAGGTCTGTTTCCACAACCCTAACATATCATGGTTTCTACCATGGCCATCGTTTCTACTCGTCTAGCGCCCGAAATGAGCGTTTTTGTCTAAAGTGAAGATGCCATTTGTGATTTCACGGACCTGCAATTATGCTGGAAAGTTTCCGAGAGTGAAACGAGATTGATTGGTGACGGGCACCCGCGACAGAAAACTATCTGCTTCATGTTCTATACCAGTGCGGACGTTTTCACATCTCGGGGCTACAAACGCCCGAAATGAGCGTTTTTATCTAACGTAACGATGTCAATTGTGAGTTCATGTGCAATAATGCTGGAGATATCTAACAAGTGAAACAAAAACGATTGGTCACGGGTACCCGCGACTGAAACTTGCCTGCTTCATTTTCTGTACCGATGCGAATAGTTTTGCGTCTCGGGGCTACAAACGCCTAAAATGAGCGTTTTTATCTGATGTAACGATGTCATTTCTGAGTTCAGGGACCTGCAATAATGCTAAAGATTGCTCACGAGTGAAATGAGAAAGATTGGTCACGGGTACCCGTGACCGAAAATTGCCTGCTTCATTTTCTGTATCGGTGCAGATATTTTTGCGTCTTGTGGCTACAAACGCCAAAATGAGCGTTTTTGTCTAAAGTAAATATGTCATTTGTGAGTTCACAAACCAGTAATTATGCTGGATACTGCCCGAGAGTGAAGCAAGATTGATTGGTGACGGGTACCCGCGACAGAAAACTATCTGCTTCATGTTCTGTACCCGTGCGGACGTTTTCACGTCTCGGGGCTACAAACGCCCGAAATGAGCGTTTTTATAAGGATTTACAAAATCCTTACTGAGGCACTCGTTAGCGAGGCCATCCCGAAGGTCACGCGACGAACCTGTTCTTCCTATTTCGTCGCACCGAACCACTCCCGAGTCGCCTCCGCTCCAATCGCAACATCACCGAGCCATCCTTCGCCCGACCTCTTCACCTAGCTAGGATTCCCCTTATAAATTCCAGTCACTTTCCTTGTATCGTCATTCAGTACTCAATCATTCTCGTTATTCGTTTTACTGCGCACTCTGCAAGTTCATTCATAACACCTGTTATCAGAGCTACTTTCCTAGCCTACCCCGCTTTTTAGAGTGTAATACCCCTCGGGGGGGGGGTGACGAGGAAGGATGTCCTGGGGTCCAGGAGTTGCCTAGGCCAGCCAAGAGAACGGGTTAGTTGCTCTTCGCGGCCATGGATTTATCGTGCACTCCTCGGCACCGCCGGATCCTTGCCTTCGACGGTCTCGATCGACCGTGACCTCCCTTCTCCCGGGCAACGGACAGCTGTAGCTGTCGCGACGTTAAACGTGAGTTACTATTCCGCTGCGATTTACCGACGATTTCGGAAGTTTTGTGTGGCAGCTGGCGTCAGCGGACCTGCGTCGGCACCTGCACGAAATTCGCAGAGTCGTCAACATGAGTGGCAGTTGACGACGTCGGACCTGGGTCAACAGTTGCGCGACAATTTCGGAGTTCGTCTGATGCGGCAATTTACGACGGTGGCTCGTCGCGCATGACTCGCGGAATGTGTTCGGCAGCTGGCGACAACGGACGTGCGTCACTGTGGGCGACATTTTCGGAGCAACTGTGGAGAAAACGTCGGCTGGGGAACTCGCCAGGCGCAAATGGAGTTTGCGTCCGAAAATATCGGTGGACGAGGAGAGACGACATGCGAATTGCCCGAATTATGCGGGGTCAACTGCCGTCCCGCCCGACCTGAAGTGCAGCGGCTTTTACTGCATGGCGGGCGCGTCATCGAAGATTTCGGCAGGAGTGCACGTGGACAGACGGGAACTTCAGACCCGCCGGCACTTACGGGTTGCAACAGAAAACGGAGTGGCTAAATCGCACTCAGGAGGAGTGGGACGCAGGCGGCGAGGGCAATTCCAGCCCATACACCTCGAAGAATCATCGCATGACGCTGCGTGCCTGGTACTGTTGACAGCTGGCCGACAATTTCGAGAGTGGATTCCCTGTAAGGAAGTCATTTTCGGGGACAGCCTCAGCAGCCCACGGTTAAACGGCGTTCAACGTACTGCCCCGACATTTACGGAGGAGTTGGTACAGGCCCCCGGGACACACGAAAAGAAACTGCCCGACGGCTAAGCGGGGGTTGAAGAACGGCGTGAAGGGCAGGTTAAAAGCCGGTGTGAACGATCTGTGACCTTCCGTCGCCCGAACCTCACCATCCCCACCAAGTTTTAGTTCTGACTCATGCAGTCAACTTACTTGGCCGAATAACGGGGGTGAACACGGGCCTACCCTGCGCTGGTTAAAAGGCACCTGGGTTGGTGCTCGTTCAACAGCTGTACAGAAAAAAAAAAACACAAAAAAGGGAGATGCGGCACTGTTCTGCTCCGACAAAAGCGGGCTGGGTGAAACAGCACGCGAAAAAATCGGGGCGCCGCAGGACAACACTGGTGCAGTTCGCTGGTTTCTCCTGAACCGGGCGTCTACACGAGGTGACGGCGCAGCGGCGAAGCAGGGACCGGGAGCTGTGGAGTTTAGTGGCGCGACGGTTGCGGTGGGCTGCAAAACGGTTGGGTGACGTTCCTTTTAATTAAGGGTCCCCGACTCCGATAGTTTTTGCCCCTCCACCGTGGCCGGGTTCGCGTCGGCAACACCGACTATACCCCATCCGACAAAAGCGGACGCTGGGTGAACGGCGGGAAGCGAAATTGTCGGGGGGTGAAACGACCAAAAAATTATGAAGCTGCGGGTATTTCTTCGCTTCTTGGAGTGCGGTTGAGTCGTTGGGGGACTCGCCTGAAGGGCACTTTTAGAAGTTGCCTGGCAAGAAACACAGCGGCAAGGACGCCTAGGACCCCCGGTGTTTAAACGCACACCTCGGGAAATTCTTCAGAAAAAAGGGAGCGTGGGAGCAGTCGTAGCTTCGGGAACTTATCGACCGGCAACGAGCGATGCGGTGAAACATCTGCAAAGCGCTGGTGGGAGAAACGTGGGTTTTTGTTAAACAGCATCGGCGGGAGCAGTTTTCGACTACGAAGTCAACGGCGTTGATGCCACTAGGTTCCGTGAAATTCGGTCTCGGAATAACCCAGGGCTGTCTCCGGTTCTCGATTGAACCCACATGCTGGGGTCGGGTAGCCGACGGAAACTGATGGTGACCGAGTGGGCGGCTATAGCACGTCCGAGATTTTCGGAGGCGAACTGCAACTGCAACTGCGGATTTACGGGGTTTGATTCGAGCGACAATTTCGGAGTTTTTACGTGGGGACTTACTGGTTTTACGGCGAGGAGCGCCGACAATTTCGGAGGAGTTGCGGCGTTTTGGTTAAACGCGCGCGGCAACGAAGTGGGGCAACACCGCGAGATTTACACGGACTTTCAAGGGGTACGAACGACTTACGACGAACTGAAGAAGGCGGCATCAACAGTAAAGGGGTGGGAGAGACAGCTGCAATTTTTCATCTCTGCCCAGGAGCCCTCGGCGTATTACGACAAATTTCTCGGCGAGTCTGGACAAAGCCGCTGAAGGTGCTGACATCATCTGACACTGGATCGCGCTCGGCAACATTTTCGGAGTGCTTTTTGATTTTGGTTACTGCATCGACGATCTTCGCCGAGTCTCGTTTTCGATTTCGCCATCAATCGTACTCATCGCCGACAATGTCGTACCACCCCTGATTTCACGGCCAGAGGATTTCAGGACGTACCATTCCGACTCTACTAACGACAAACCCATCCACTCGACCCGCCCACGACAACTGCATTGATTTCAACCACGTCAGGTGCTGCCAGCTGCATCTGTTGAAGATATTGCATGATTCTGGCGTGTGAAGACAAAAACAGGTTCAGTTCGAGCAACGACGATTTTTCATCGCGGTTTCTGGTCTACTTCTACTGGTTCGCCCTTGGAACATTTTGGGGCACGTAATACCTGGTTCTGTCATCGGAGTTTCAACACCGACGCATTTCCGCCTGGACTTCTTCCTTCGACGCTCTTCTTCGTGGGACTTAACACCTGGATTTTTGTTGATTTTCATCTCGGCGCAGCTGTAAAGATTTTGTGGTCAGTTTTCTTGGAGGGGGGGAGAAAGTGCGCTGCACTGTTCTTTCCTTGGCGTTTTTCTCGGTCCTTTCTGACTTTGTCAGGTTGCGTCAGCACGACGGACGATCGCGATCACACCGACACGATCAACGGTTCCTGCTCAATCGCGTTTGAATTCGCGTCACCAGGTTCCCTCTCTTCTCGCGTCAGTATTCGACCGTCAGATCTACATCCTCTCAATCAACGGCCCACATTCCAACTTCTACTTCATTTTGGGCCAGTTCATCGTCGACCGTCAGATCGAATTCGGACTTCATCAACGGCCTACATTCCAACCTTTTCAAAAAATATTGTCAAAGGGAGTTCAGCCGTCGGATTCAGCTCAAGGAGAGATCTACGGCATCCTCGCTAGTGTGGAGCCTGTTTTCAGTACAGGGCTGCCTTATTTAGAAGGTGGGAGAGTGTAAGGATTTACAAAATCCTTACTGAGGCACTCGTTAGCGAGGCCATCCCGAAGGTCACGCGACGAACCTGTTCTTCCTATTTCGTCGCACCGAACCACTCCTGAGTCGCCTCTGCTCCAATCGCAACATCACCGAGCCATC